TGCAGTCCACCAGTTTTGTTGACCAGTTTGCTGTCCACCTAACTACCAGTTTTGTTGACCAGTTTGCTGTCCACTAGTTTTGTTGACCAGTTTGCTGTCCACCTCCCTATTAGTTTTGTTGACCAGTTTGCTGTCCACCTCCCTATTAGTTTTGTTGATCAGTTTGCTGTCCACCTCACTACAACTTTTGTCGACCAGTTTGCTGTCCACCTCCCTATTAGTTTTGTTGACCAGTTTGCTGTCCACCAGTTTTGTTGACCAGTTTGCTGTCCACTAGTTTTTTTGACCAGTTTGCTGTCCACCTAACTACCAGTTTTGTTGACCAGTTTGCTGTCCACCAGTTTTGTTGACCAGTTTGCAGTCCACCAGTTTTGTTGACCAGTTTGCTGTCCACCTAACTACCAGTTTTGTTGACCAGTTTGCTGTCCACCTAACTACCAGTTTTGTTGACCAGTTTGCTGTCCACCTAACTACCAGTTTTGTTGACCAGTTTGCTGTCCACCTCACTACCAGTTTTGTTGACCAGTTTGCTGTCAACCAGTTTTGTTGACCAGTTTGCTGTCCACCTCACTACCAGTTTTGTTGACCAGTTTGCTGTCCACCTAACTACCAGTTTTGTTGACCAGTTTGCTGTCCACCTAACTACCAGTTTTGTTGACCAGTTTGCTGTCCACCTCACTACCAGTTTTGTTGACCAGTTCGCTGTGTACCAGTTTTGTTGACCAGTTTGCTGTCGACCTCACTACCAGTTTTGTTGACCAGTTTGCTGTCCACCTCACTACAACTTTTGTTGACCAGTTTGTTGTCCACCTCACTACCAGTTTTGTTGACCAGTTTGCTGTCCACCTCACTACCAGTTTTGTTGACCAGTTTGCTGTCCACCTAACTACCAGTTTTGTTGACCAGTTTGCTGTCCACCTCACTACCAGTTTTGTTGACCAGTTCGCTGTGTACCAGTTTTGTTGACCAGTTTGCTGTCCACCTCACTACCAGTTTTGTTGACCAGTTTGCTGTCCACCTCACTACAACTTTTGTTGACCAGTTTGTTGTCCACCTCACTACCAGTTTTGTTGACCAGTTTGCTGTCCACCTCACTACCAGTTTTGTTGACCAGTTTGCTGTCCACCTAACTACCAGTTTTGTTGACCAGTTTGCTGTCCACCTCACTACCAGTTTTGTTGACCAGTTTGCTGTCCACCTCACTACAACTTTTGTTGACCAGTTTGCTGTCCACCTCACTACCAGTTTTGTTGACCAGTTTGCTGTCCACCTCACTACCAGTTTTGTTGACCAGTTTGCTGTCCACCTCACTACAACTTCTGTTGACCAGTTTGTTGTCCACCTCACTACCAGTTTTGTTGACCAGTTTGCTGTCCACCTCACTACCAGTTTTGTTGACCAGTTTGCTGTCCACCTAACTACAAGTTTTGTTGACCAGTTTGCTGTCCACCTCACTACCAGTTTTGTTGACCAGTTTGCTGTCCACCTCACTACAACTTTTGTTGACCAGTTTGCTGTCCACCTCACTACAACTTTTGTTGACCAGTTTGCTGTCCACCTCACTACCAGTTTTTTTGACCAGTTTGCTGTCCAACTCACTACCAGATTTGTTGACCAGTTTGCTGTCCACCTCACTACCAGTTTTGTTGACCAGTTTGCTGTCCACCTAACTACAAGTTTTGTTGACCAGTTTGCTGTCCACCTCACTACCAGTTTTGTTGACCAGTTTGCTGTCCACCTATCTACAAGTTTTGTTGACCAGTTTGCTGTCCACCTCACTACCAGTTTTGTTGACCAGTTTGCTGTCCACCTCACTACCAGATTTGTTGACCAGTTTGCTGTCCACCTCACTACCAGATTTGTTGACCAGTTTGCTGTCCACCTCACTACCAGATTTGTTGACCAGTTTGCTGTCCACCTCACTACCAGATTTGTTGACCAGTTTGCTGTCCACCTAACTACCAGTAGGAGTGATGAATTGACTATCCACCTCCCTACCTGTACATTGACATCTAAGTCTCTGTCTCAATCACAACACTTTTCTTTTGTTGATTACATATGAATGACCAAACATTATTCTGTAACTAGATTCAATTCGAAGCCCCTATCCGTTAAGTCACACAAATCACAATCTCACCGCGACATTTTAAAATGCCGTCTCTGTGTGCGACCAATTGTGTAGCATATACTGCTACTCACTCTGACTTTAGTTGCAACTCTATACTTTCAAGTAGAAAACTGTAGTTCATCATGGTCGATAGTCAACATTGCTTTCGACATACAACCCAAACGTTTTACAAAATACTTTATAGGAATAATGACGACACGAACAAAAAACAGTTTTATTTCATGTATCTAAATAAGCTAAATCGTGCACATTGATTACATAGAGAAAATAAGCCATGCTTAAACCACCTCCTGTACAATATAACCTTAAATAACATACATTACACTTACATCTACTTCATACAAATAGCTACACGTTTTTTAAGTAAAGCTTTTGATGATAATTCGAACTCTACATTGAGATTGTTACTTAATTTATTATAAATTTAAACTTATAACTGATGTTATACGTAACTTATTTTAGCTTAAATACATATGTATGTTTTGCAGATAAACTTTATACTTACATTGACTGCTCAATGGTCGAATATTGGAAGATAGACATACAGAGCAGTGTCCTTTGAACGCTCCTCTCTCTCTCTCTCTCTCAATCTTATATATATATATATATATATATATATATATATATATATATATATATATATATATATATATACATATATATTTATTTATTCATTTATATATTAAGATTTAGTTTCCAGCTGAGATATAATCTCTACTGAATGACACTTATTTGATCAATATTTATTTGTCTACACTTTATACTCTATGCGATTGTCTAATCAAAATTGTATTTCAATATTAAATTATCAATGCTACATGACGTTCTAAATTTAAAATTTATTCATACCACTTTAACATTTAGGTCCAGTTTTGGAAAACATTCAATAGAAATATTTAAAGTAAAAACAATGTGTTGCTAAAAATCTCTGTCGTTGAAAAAGAAGATGTTATTTGTCAACTTTAAAACACTTGATGCGGAAATGGTGCTTGATTTTCGAAACATGGTGCGCAATATTAAACATAAATAGTAAAGTGATAAATTGAAGCTTGTTTATTTGCAGGTTTCAGAGTGTTTAATTACTTAAACATTTTTTTAAAGTTATATCTTAGCCTAATCGTCATCACTTCACTATTAAAAATAAAAAAAAATACTTCAAAAAATGTGTATAAATGTTTAGGTAACACTAGCATTTGATCTCATAACCTTTCCGTTATAAAATTTACTTTTTTATTTATATTCTCAAAGACCATTAATCTTTACATTATTCGACTTGTATTTCTTCTGTGATTTCTACTCCTTACCAAGTTGATCCTTAGTTATCCCAGTATTTTATTTCTCAAACATTAGTTCATCGTTATTATCTAGTAATTTTGAATTTACAGAAACACTAAAATTGACTACTAATTAGGCTTCTGTTGAGACGTTTGACGTTTACGTCTCATTTAACGTCTTTATATTTGTTCATAGTCCACTGACCTTTTTAAGTGCTTATATTTTTAGCGCAATTTCCATTCTGGAGAATTGCGTTTATTAACTCGTCATTTCTGGGAATGTATGGATGGATGAATGTATGGATGTATGAATGTGTGTCCGGGCTTTAAGTCGTATCTCCTCCTCAACGAAGCAATATCGATGACTAGTTACAAAAGCAATTATGTTAAGCAAGTTACGAGGATGAACATAGGCCATAAAAATTCCGGGTTTCTTTCATGGATTTCCCGAAAAAGCCAAAAAACCTCGAAAAAATGCAGTTTTTGGCCCATATCTCGGCAACCAGACCACTTAGCGACTTGAAACATGTACCAATCGATTCCTGCCATAATTTAGAACAATATTGCCGAAGAAAGTTTTCAAAAATATCCTTTCGTTCGGTCACAAAAATTTTTTTTTAATTAATTAAAATTTGGACCGAATTAGTAGGCATGTTTTTCCAACCACACCACACGCCTCATCACTTTCAATAGCTGCGCCATCACGTTCAATGGCTGCGACATCACGTTAGGTAGCTAGGCGCGCAATGGTTTTTAGTCATGTTACTCTATTGCAAATAAAACATGTAAAATACTGAAATTTTTTTTAATAAAAAACGTTTTAATAACTAACCAATGGTTTTACTAACCCTGCTCTTGATTTACGCTACGACAGAGCTATTTTTAGATAACATAAGGAAATTGCGCTAAAATTGTCACTAGACTTTTTTTAATTACTTGTTTTTATCAAAATCTCGTTTCTTTCCGACCACCTATTCCCTGGCTTGCAATCATCTGTTTTTGATAAGGAAGAAATGGTCATCTTGGTCAGGGAAAGCGCACCTTGTTTTACACCTATACCCTAGTGTCGACTTTCGAAATCGCACACTCGCGTTTTATCGCTTAAGCTTTCCCCTCTCCGTGATTTACATTTCTATTGTCTTCTGTCCAGACACCTATAGTTTTGCTCAGCTTCTCTTGTCATAATATTTTTGATATATTCAACAACCATTTGCTTAAAAAGTCTTGATTCTTTTTTAGTGTCTCTCTGTTGTTATCCATGTCTCCACGTACATAATTATATAACTATTTTGATGAAATTATAACAAAAGTATGTTTTCCTTTAACATGCCACATCTTGTTTTAATAATTGTTACAAAATTATGTCTAATATACAATGTTAAACTAATAAAATATGTATATATAACCATGTATGTATAGCTTTCAAAATGTAACCACAGTAGTCATATTTGAATGAATCAATCGATGCACGATGGAGCTTTAAAGGTTATCAACACAGTAGAAAAACAAACAGAACTGCATTCTACAGTTATCTCTAAGTGATCCACATGTTGACAAAAATAATTTTGAATTTTTAAACAACATACTCACACGAAAATGCAAGTCATTCATCCATTTTTAATACTCTCAAATTACATTATAATTTTAGAGAGTACAGCATTCATTATGCACTTACGCGCTAATAAACTCACAAAATAATTATGTTAAAAAATGAATTTAGAAAAAAACCTTGATCTAAAATTTGGAAACATTTATATATATATAATTCACAAAAATATAAGTTGGTAGTTTCAAAACTTTAATTTAGTAGAAACTGGTAGATGGATAGGGCCCTACCGCTTTATGCAAATTTTCACCTGAATTATGGTACCTAATATGGTAATAATTTATCTGCATACAACACAAGATGACACTAATGCAGTTCCAATTTGAAGACTAGAAAATGCGTTGGTTTTTCTTTAATTCCTACTTAACCTTTAAACCTCTTCCAATTTTTAACTTTCGATATTCTCATTTATTGTATCAACGTTAACCATTGACTGTTCCAGGTTGATTTCCGGTTCCAATACCTCAGCTGTCTCTCGATACTCGCCATCTTTGTCTCGCATTCTCTGCTCAAATTCTTCAATTTTTTTCTGGAAACTCTCTTCGATTTCTTGTTGTTTTTTCTTTAAAAGCTCGAATTCCCTAATCAGATTTTCGTATTCCTCACTTTTATCTTTCAGCACGAATGCCGATTTGGGTGGAGAATCTGGGCAGTCAAGTGGTGAATACGTGGCAGGCATTCTTTGACTAATACAATTTTCACATGACACCAAGTCTTCATTCTGAATACGGCTGTTGGTGACTTGTGTCAGCTCGACTTCTGGTCTAGTTTCATCCTTGATCATATTTTGGATCTGAACTCTTTCAAATCGCTTGTTGGTATAGCGGCGAGCACTAAGTAACTCATCGACTTTATTTAATAATTTTTCGATTTGTTTGACCTTTTTGACCTGAGTGTTGTTGTCGAATAAGATGATTCTATTGTCACATTCTTCTATCAAATCTTTAAAGGCGCCGTCTTGTTTTTCGCACCATTGGGGGAAGGTTGTTCTCTTATCTAATTTTCCACGTTGTTCTTCCTTGAAAATATCGCCGCCGGTAACGATTAAAATACCGTTTTTTCGTAGGAAATTATCTCCAAGAACTTTTTTTAAAGTATCAACCGCATCCTTTTCTTCATGAGTGAACCTGTTCCCATATTTAAGGACCAGAAGAAAAGCGTGATAGCCTTCAGGATTGGCTGCCAGAGCCAGCTTAGCGGCCTCAGTTGTCTGCTCAACTGACCGTTCTCTGTTCAGCCTGGTGTCACAAACTGTCAGACCGTCCACGACTTTTAACGGACGACCTTTGTAGTCTATAGTCGCACTGTAGAATTGTTTGGTTAACGAAGACGTGGTTGACCCGCTTTCGAACGTCCATTCTCTTACTATTGTGTTACCAGTCGCACTTTTTCCGTTTCCGGTTTTTCCGACCAGTAGTAAATCAATTCTTGGTGGTATGCACTAGGAAAAAAAAGAAGTTCATGTTGCATACACATTTGGTATAATAACATGTTACATAACAAGGTATACACAGTGTCACTTCCCAAACAGTCGATTAATGTCTTAATTGCTGTGAGGGCTTCATAATAATTACGGAAGAAATAAATAATGGCTTAGAGTGTATCGACTTGCATATGTTTGTTGATATAGAATATGTGTGTTGTTAATATGGGCAGAATGACGTAGTTGACAAGTCGAGGGTGGGTAGGTGGTGATTAGATAACAAGCATCAATTTTAATTTTAACGCTAGGCATAAATAAGAAGGAAATAATTTAGTATTAACGGTAGACTTTGATGACAGACGAAGCAGTTATGTTTTTTTTTACTCTCATCCAATGTGGTTTGTATAACCATAGACTTGAGTAAAGTTATTAAACACACCAAAATAAGCCAATTCAGTCCAAATTGTAGTAGATAGTCTAGTTGCAGGAATTGTTAATATATTAACATATAGATCAGCCGCCTCCCCCCTCCCCCCCTATATCTATTACCCATGATTACATCTATAAAGTGTGTAATTCGAAATTAATTATTAATAAACAATTTATTTTAATATGCAAAGACATTAATGCTGAAAGTACTGAACGTCTTAACGTTGTTAAAATCTAACGTAATTAAAATCTAACGTTATTAAAATCTAAAGTTATTAAAATCTAACGTTCTTAAAATCTAACATTATTAAAATCTAACGTTATTAAAATCTAACAGTATTAAAATCTAACGTAATTAAAATCTAACGTTATTAAAATCTAACGTTATTAAAATCTAACGTTATTACAATCTAACATTATTAAAATCTAACGTTATTAAAATCTAACATTATTAAAATCTAATGTTATTAAAATCTAACATTATTAAAATCTAATGTTATTAAAATTCTACGTTATTAAATTCTAATCCAACATCGGCTGTTTCTGGAGAATAGCATGGTCTAGCTGTAGAACAGCATGGTCTAGCTGTAGAACGGCATGGTCTAGCTGTAGAACGAAAACCACATGCTCGGATAGCGGGGTCGAGGCAGTAGGTCGTCTACTGACCAAGGTCCACCCATTAGGTCGTCTACTGACCAAGGTCCACCCAGTAGGTCGTCTACTGACCAAGGTCCACCCATTAGGTCGTCTACTGACCAAGGTCCACCCAGTAGGTCATCTACTGACCAAGGTCCACCCAATAGGTCGTCTACTGATCAAGGTCCACCCAGTAGGTCGTCTACTGACCAAGGTCCACCCAGTAGGTCGTCTACTGACCAAGGTCCACCCAGTAGGTCGTCTACTGATCAAGGTCCACCCAGTAGGTCGTCTACTGACCAGGGTCCACCCAGTAGGTCGTCTACTGACCAAGGTCCACCCAGTAGGTCGTCTACTGACCAAGGTCCACCCAGTAGGTCGTCTATAGACCATGAACCAGCCAGTCTACTGATCAAGGTCCACACAGTAGGTCGTCTACTGACCAAGGTCCACCCATTAGGTCGTCTACTGACCAAGGTCCACCCAGTAGGTCGTCTACTGACCAAGGTCCACCCAGTAGGTCGTCTACTGACCAAGGTCCACCCAGTAGGTCGTCTACTGACCAAGGTCCACCCAGTAGGTCGTCTACTGACCAAGGTCCACCCAGTAGCTCGTCTACTGACCAAGGTCCACCCAGTCTACTGACCAAGGTCCACCCAGTAGGTCGTCTACTGACCAAGGTCCACCCATTAGGTCGTCTACTGACCAAGGTCCACCCAGTAGGTCGTCTACTGATCAAGGTCCACCCATTAGGTCGTCTACTGACCAAGGTCCACCCAGTAGCTCGTCTACTGACCAAGGTCCACCAAGTCTACTGACCAAGGTCCACCCAGTAGGTCATCTACTGACCAAGGTCCACCCAGTAGGTCGTCTACTGATCAAGGTCCACCCAGTAGGTCGTCTACTGACCAAGGTCCACCAAGTCTACTGACCAAGGTCCACCCAGTAGGTCATCTACTGACCAAGGTCCACCCAGTAGGTCGTCTACTGACCAAGGTCCACCCATTAGGTCGTCTACTGACCAAGGTCCACCCAGTAGGTCGTCTACTGACCAAGGTCCACCCAGTAGGTCGTCTACTGACCAAGGTCCACCCAGTAGGTCGTCTACTGATCAAGGTCCACCCAGTCTACTGACCAAGGTCCACCCATTACGTCGTCTACTGACCAAGGTCCACCCAGTAGGTCGTCTACTGACCAAGGTCCACCCAGTAGGTCGTCTACTGACCAAGGTCCACCCAGTAGGTCGTCTACTGATCAAGGTCCACTCAGTCTACTGACCAAGGTCCACCCATTACGTCGTCTACTGACCAAGGTCCACCCATTAGGTCGTCTACTGACCAAGGTCCACCCAATAGGTCGTCTACTGACCAAGGTCCACCAAGTCTACTGACCAAGGTCCACCCAGTAGGTCATCTACTGACCAAGGTCCACCCAGTAGGTCGTCTACTGACCAAGGTCCACACAGTCTACTGACCAAGGTCCACCCAGTAGGTCGTCTATAGACCATGAACCACCCAGTCTACTGATCAAGGTCCACCCAGTAGGTCGTCTACTGACCAAGGTCCACCCAGTAGGTCGTCTACTGACCAAGGTCCACCCAGTAGGTCGTCTACTGATCAAGGTCCACCCAGTCTACTGACCAAGGTCCACCCATTAGGTCGTCTACTGACCAAGGTCCACCCAGTAGGTCGTCTACTGACCAAGGTCCACCCAGTAGGTCGTCTACTGATCAAGGTCCACCCAGTCTACTGACCAAGGTCCACCCATTAGGTCGTCTACTGACCAAGGTCCACCCAGTAGGTCGTCTACTGACCAAGGTCCACCAAGTCTACTGACCAAGATACACCCAGTAGGTCATCTACTGACCAAGGTCCACCCAGTAGGTCGTCTACTGACCAAGGTCCACACAGTCTACTGACCAAGGTCCACCCAGTAGGTCGTATACTGACCAAGGTCTACCCAGTAGGTCATCTACTGACCAAGGTCCACCCAGTAGATCGTCTACTGATCAAGGTCCACCCAGTCTACTGACCAAGGTCCACCCATTAGGTCGTCTACTGACCAAGGTCCACCCAGTAGGTCGTCTACTGACCAAGGTCCACCAAGTCTACTGACCAAGGTCCACCTAGTAGGTCATCTACTGACCAAGGTCCACCCAGTAGGTCGTCTACTGACCAAGGTCCACACAGTCTACTGACCAAGGTCCACCCAGTAGGTCGTCTACTGACCAAGGTCCACCCAGTAGGTCATCTACTGACCAAGGTCCACCCAGTAGGTCGTCTACTGACCAAGGTCCACCCAGTAGGTCGTCTACTGACCAAGGTCCACCCAGTAGGTCGTCTACTGACCAAGGTCCACCCTGTAGGTCGTCTACTGACCAAGGTCCACCCAGTCTACTGACCAAGGTCCACCCAGTAGGTCGTCTACTGATCAAGGTCCACCCAGTAGGTCGACTACTGGCCAAGGTCCACCCAGTCTACTGACCAAGGTCCACCCAGTCTACTGACGAAGGTCCACCCATTAGGTCGTCTACTGACCAAGGTCCACCCAGTCTACTGACCAAGGTCCACCCAGTAGGTCGTCTACTGACCAAGGTCCATCCTGTAGGTCGTCTACTGACGAAGGTCCACCCAGTCTACTGACCAAGGTCCACCCAGTAGGTCGTCTACTGATCAAGGTCCACCCAGTAGGTCGTCTACTGGCCAAGGTCCACCCAGTCTACTGACCATGGTCCACCCTGTAGGTCGTCTACTGACCAAGGTCCACCCAGTCTACTGACCAAGGTCCACCCAGTAGGTCGTCTACTGATCAAGGTCCACCCAGTAGGTCGACTACTGGCCAAGGTCCACCCAGTCTACTGACCAAGGTCCACCCAGTCTACTGACGAAGGTCCACCCATTAGGTCGTCTACTGACCAAGGTCCACCCAGTCTACTGACCAAGGTCCACCCAGTAGGTCGTCTACTGACCAAGGTCCATCCTGTAGGTCGTCTACTGACGAAGGTCCACCCAGTCTACTGACCAAGGTCCACCCAGTAGGTCGTCTACTGATCAAGGTCCACCCAGTAGGTCGTCTACTGGCCAAGGTCCACCCAGTCTACTGACCAAGGTCCACCCAGTAGATCGTCTACTGATCAAGGTCCACCCAGTCTACTGACCAAGGTCCACCCATTAGGTCGTCTACTGACCAAGGTCCACCCAGTAGGTCGTCTACTGACCAAGGTCCACCAAGTCTACTGACCAAGGTCCACCTAGTAGGTCATCTACTGACCAAGGTCCACCCAGTAGGTCGTCTACTGACCAAGGTCCACACAGTCTACTGACCAAGGTCCACCCAGTAGGTCGTCTACTGACCAAGGTCCACCCAGTAGGTCATCTACTGACCAAGGTCCACCCAGTAGGTCGTCTACTGACCAAGGTCCACCCAGTAGGTCGTCTACTGACCAAGGTCCACCCAGTAGGTCGTCTACTGACCAAGGTCCACCCTGTAGGTCGTCTACTGACCAAGGTCCACCCAGTCTACTGACCAAGGTCCACCCAGTAGGTCGTCTACTGATCAAGGTCCACCCAGTAGGTCGACTACTGGCCAAGGTCCACCCAGTCTACTGACCAAGGTCCACCCAGTCTACTGACGAAGGTCCACCCATTAGGTCGTCTACTGACCAAGGTCCACCCAGTCTACTGACCAAGGTCCACCCAGTAGGTCGTCTACTGACCAAGGTCCATCCTGTAGGTCGTCTACTGACGAAGGTCCACCCAGTCTACTGACCAAGGTCCACCCAGTAGGTCGTCTACTGATCAAGGTCCACCCAGTAGGTCGTCTACTGGCCAAGGTCCACCCAGTCTACTGACCATGGTCCACCCAGTAGGTCGTCTACTGACCAAGGTCCACCACTAACGCAAACAAGGGAATCCGAAGTACTATTGGAGGAAGCAATAGCTGGTGGGGAACTTATGCTTTAAGCGGTTGGGAAGAAATGATCGTCGTTTAAAGTTCAGGGTAATACATTTTGGCAACGTTTTATTTACTATATTATAGCTATACTAAAGTTCAGGGTAATATTGGCAATGCTTTATTTACATTATTATAGCTATACTAAAGTGGTGCGTGGACTATTTAAATTCAACTCAACAAAAGGCCTAATATTAGCTAAAATAAAGATTTTAATTTTGTCTTAAAATAAACATAAAGTCACATGATATTTGAATATGCAATGCAGAATTATATAAGTTTCAAAAAATAAAAATAAAGAAATCCTGCTAATAAGCAATATTATAATGAAGACAACGGAAGGGAAAAAAAAGTATAGCCAAAACTAGATTTAAGTATATTTCAATATGTAGCTGAGGGGATGAACTACCACCATAAATATAACAAAAATCTATCCCTACCTAATATGTTCACACGGCAGCTATATCGGAAATTCTTGGTTAAAATCAGCAGCGCGAGCTTCAGGTCGAGCAGAAAACCAACTTTTTAAAAATTTGCTTTTTTTTAATTAATATTATAAAACTAAATGTTAAAATGTTAATGTAGAATAAGTAGTTTCCTCTCATATTTGTTCAGTAAAAACATTTAGGGGACAGCAAATAGGAATAGCACAATGTTTTTACTCCTGCAAAATGTTTATCTCCGGAGATAATAGTTTTGAAACACGATCAGTAACTTACGATCTCTAAAAGACGGTTATCTATACATTCATAGTCTGTGGGTGCATCTTAAGCAAAAAACTAACCAGTTCACCGTCGTCAAGCAGTTGATAGTTTATAATCCTTCCATCTCTCCTTTCATATAATTTAGGGATCATTAATTATAGATAATGACTAATCTAATGTCTAGTAGATTCAACATGTGAAATTATTTCAGTATCATAAGGGATGAATGTATATGGAAAGCTACGAAATCGTAGAGTTAAAAGAGTTCGAAATGGAGTTACTAGATTTACTAAAAATCCTGTCAAATAATATTTGAGCCGCTCGTACCGTATTTAAATGTAATGCATGCATATCACCTTACATGCTACTCAACAAAACATTAAAATAAATTATATAATACTGACTCTTATACAGACTTACCCTCAACTTTTTTTCCTGCCTTACAGTATGTGGTTTGCTAGTATTTATCTTGCAGCCATCTTTGTATGTGGAAGAAGGGTCATTATTATAATATATATATGTATGTATATATATATATATATATATATATATATATATATATATATATATATATATATATTTATTTATTTATTTTCTTTATAGTTATTTAAATAGTAGTGTATAATTTATTTTCTCCTTTTTTGTGCATTATTACATAAAAACGTGTTATTAAAACGTTTTTTATGAATTTGTTTTCAGTACTTCCTATGTAAAATATAAAAGGTGTTTAATCAAATATTTAAACCCTACCTGAGAGGTCCGTGAATAAAGATTCATTTGATGATGAGGCAGAGCTTAAGTCTGTTCGTCTCTCACTTGGTCTCCAAGGTGGAACCAACTGTGGTCCAATTGTTGGCCCATTAGGCCTATATGGACTCATGCCGCCGCCATAAGGTGGCCTGTAAATCATTGGGCCTGAAATGGAATTTACATTTAAATATAAACTTTTTCAAGTTTTCTAAGAGAAACACTGCATCCTTAAAACTCAAATTACGCAAGATCGTGTAATATTTCATATATGTAAACCTTCAGAGACCATTTAAAAAGCCATTCAATAAACTACAGCTACGTTAACTTATTTTGGTTTTAAAATAAAACTAGATTTCTCTCTTACAATTTCGAGTTAATTATATCAGTTCATTAATAACTGAAACGGAAATAGTGCTTGATTTTAACTTGCTCGTATATACGAAGCATAGAGAAAGTCTTGTTATCGTGCAGAAAAAATAAATTTTAGCAAATCTCGACATTTTACAGCTTCCTGAGTAGGAATACCATAGTTTTACAATCTTGTCCGTATGTCTCTGTGTGTGTGTGTGTGTGTATGTGTGTATCTGTAAACACGATAACGTGAGTACAGTTACAGCTAGATTGATGAAATTTCATATATAAGTATTATATCAAAATCATAGATCCGTATCAACTTTTGAGCGATTTCCGATAACCGGAAATGGAACTTTTTTCTATTTTCAATATTTTAAAAGCCTATAGTTTGAGTACTATTTCAGATAGATAAATGAAATTTCGCATGTAAGTAAAAGATCAAATTTTAGCGTTTTTTTTCAAATTTTGAATCATTTTCGTTGACCGGAAGTATTCATCCCCTGTTGTTTCATATAAGAATATTCGAGAAATTTTAGGCCTATTATATTTAACAAAAACTCAACAGATAAGCCGATGTATCACCTGGAATGCTGCCATATGGTGGTGCAAAAGCAGGTGGTCTTATTGGTCCGATTGAAGATGGATATCCGCTTGGGCTGCTCCATCCTATATGAATGAAATTGTCTGCATAATGAAAGAAATAGATTACATGTTCAGTAGATCTAGAACTAGTACGAATTCAAATGCATCTACGGACTGTAAGTCTACAGATCTGGGTCTAGTGTTAGAGTTTTTCTAGGCATCTCTTCGGAGCATCCCCGCCCCACGAAGAATGTCTACCGCGCCCCCCCCCCCCCCACATAATGGAATTTATATAGAAATTATATACTTTTCCTAGTGACCGCCATCCCGGCAAATTTAGTCCGCCCCCCCCCCCCCCCCCTGAAAATATCAAGTGCCCCCCTGGAGAAAAAAGTCCACCTGAGTTGTAACCAATGGCACTGTAAGCCACAGAACTACTATCTCGCATATAGCATCCATTAGGACTGAGACTATTATTTATGACATCTGCAGATAAGTAAGCACCCAATCCATGTCCACCTCCGTCAACTCAATGAAATTTTACTGTTTTATATAAGATGTAATGGAGAATTATATATATATATATATATATATATATATATATATATATATATATATATATATATATATATATATATATATATATATATAGATAGATAAATGAAATTTCAAATGAAAGTAAAAGATCAAATTTTTAGCCTTTTGTCAAATTTTGAATAATATCCGTTGACCGGAAGTAGTCAATTCCTTTTGTTTCATATAAGAATATTCGAGAAAGTTTAGGCCTATTATATTTAACAAAAACTCAACAGATAAGCCGATGTATCACCTGGAATGCAACCATAAGGAGGTCCAAAAGCAGGTGGTCTTATTGGTCCGATTGAAGGTGGATATCCGCCTGTGTTGTAAGGATACTGATTTGGACTGAAATTGTCTGCATAATGAAAGAAATAGATTAAATATTAAGTAGATCCAGAACTAGTACGAATTCAAATGCATCTACGGACTGTAAGTCTACAGATCTGGGTCTAGTGTTAGAGTTTTTCTAGGCATCTCTTCGGAGCACCACCCCCACGAAGAATGCCTACCGCCCCCCCCCCCCCCCACATAAGGGAATTTATATAGAAATTATATACTTTTCCTAGTGACCGCCATCCCGGCAAATTTAGTCCGCCCCCCACCTCTGAAAATATCAAGTGCCCGCCTGAGTTGTAACCAATGGCACTGTAAGCCACTGAACTACTATCTCGCATATAGCATCCATTTGGAATGAGACCATTATTTATGACATCTGCAGATAAGTAAGCACCCAATCCATGTTCACCTTGGTCAACTCGATGAAAGTTTACTGTTTTATATAAGAGGTAATGGAGAATTATATATATATATATATATAAACTTTTATATAATATACATGTATATATATAGGCCCTACATTCATCGCCTATTCTTTTCCTCTTGCCCACTAAGCTGTTAATTTTTTTAGTTTTATATAAAAGGCGGTGATTCGCATTCATAGAATATATACATGATTTAGCGGCCTAAGGTTGTTTTCCGCAGTCGACAATCTGTTGTCGTTGATGCTGTTCTTAGAACAAACATTTCTGAACTGTTTTTGTAGAAGACACAAGTGTAAGCTTCAAACCTCTCAATTCCAAACATCTTTCTATTAACCCAAACACCAACTCTAGCACTCCCATTCTCGGGTAGCGATACTGCTCTGTACGGGGACCACTGGTGTGGGTTAAGCATGTATCCTTAAAGTAAAACTATGTTAATCACAGCACTAACATCATTTATATCACAAGTTGTATATATATATATATATATATATATATATACTATTAATATACTATATATATATATACTATATATATATATATATATATATAAATATATATACTATTAATATACTATATATATATACTATATATATATATATACTATATATATATATATATATATATATATATATATATATATATATATATATATATATATAATTAACACTATAGGCTACCTGGTTCCATTGTTCAGCTTCGCAAAAAGATGTATCTGTTTAAAAAAAATTAAGTGGATTTAATGTATTAGTTTAAATGTTTCGAACACCTAAGAATAAACAATTGATAATGTGTGCTTCACATTACTTGTAGATTCTAATAAATGGGGAAAATATTTGGCTACTTTTTACATTGACGACTATAGACGCTTTAATTATCAGACAAACACAGCTATAGACATAACAGAGCTTCTTCCAGTCATCTCTTCGATGAAAGTCTACCGCCCTCCACCGAACGAAATGGAATCTATATAAAAAACATATACTTTCACTAGTGCCCCCCCGCCCCCGAAAATGTTTTCCGGCCCTCAGAAAATATCAATTACTCCCCCTCCCCCCCCCCCCCCGAAGAAAAAAGTCTGGAAGAAACACTGATAACATCTAATACCTTCAGCATTAGATTTCGAGAACTTATGATGTCACTGCAATAAACCAGCTCTGATGGGTATCTGACCCTATTTACGGTCACGTCATATGCCTAAGTCACATAAATAGGTGAACTCTACTCCACCTGTACCACCAGATTTGGGGGAGCAAATTTACTTGCAATGCTGTGCAAGATTACGACTAAAACAAGATTATCCCGACTCCTTAGGGTGCACTACAGCTCACTTGGTAACGTCTTGTTGTATCTGGATTGGTCTACTGTAACAGGCACGTGAAACTCTATGTCTTTCTTGCACTCTAGCATAGTGCTCTAGTTGATTTCATGTGCAGTATATAAATTTAATACTGAATTACTATATCTATATGAGAGAATCACTGTTTGCAGGCGTGAACCAAGTTATTCTATGTACAAATAGAGAAAAGAAGAAACTTAGTGAGAATCAAAACTTAATACGTTACCTGCTCAAAGCAATATATTCACATTCCTCTTCATTAACATAGCTAAAGGGTCCTTCCCATTATGATCAAAATCACCTCCCTTCAAATCACCGTATCTGTCTTTTTCCGATCGAATTTTATAAATTTAAATATATTTTCTCATTAATATCAATTTAAATGTTGTTAGTGGACAAGATGGTGTAAATACAACCGTTCATTATCGCGTACCGCTTAAATCAGAACTAGTGATTACTCTTTAAAATCACGGTGTGCAACCTGAACCATAAACATGGTGTGCAAACTTAACATATAGGCTATTCTAGTTCGGTCCCGCTTTAATAAGGTTAGATATTGTGTTGTGTATCAACTAGTCAGGTTTGATCTTGTGTTGTGTATCAACTTGTCAGGTTTGATCTTGTGTTGTGTATCAACTAGTCAGGTTTGATCTTGTGTTCTGTATCAACTAGTCAGGTTTGATCTTGTGTTGTGTATCACTTAGTCAGGTTTGATCTTGTGTTGTGTATCACTTAGTCAGGTTTGATCTTGTGTTGTTTATCAACTAGTCAGGTTTGATCTTGTGTTGTGTATCACTTAGTCAGGTTTGATCTTGTGTTGTGTATCAACTTGTCAGGTTTGATCTTGTGTTGTGTATCAACTAGTCAGGTTTGATCTTGTGTTGTGTATCAACTAGTCAGGTTTGATCTTGTGTTGTGTATCTACTAGTCAGGTTTGATCTTGTGTATCAACTAGTCAGGTTTGATCTTGTGTTGTGTATCACTTAGTCAGGTTTGATCTTGTGTTGTTTATCAACTAGTCAGGTTTGATCTTGTGTTGTGTATCAACTTGTCAGGTTTGATCTTGTGTTGTGTATCAACTAGTCAGGTTTGATCTTGTGTTGTGTATCAACTAGTCAGGTTTGATCTTGTGTTGTGTATCTACCAGTCAGGTTTGATCTTGTGTATCAACTAGTCAGGTTTGATCTTGTGTTGTGTATCAACTAGTCAGGTTTGATCTTGTATTGTGTATCAACTTGTCAGGTTTGATCTTGTGTTGTGTATCAACTTGTCAGGTTTGATCTTGTGTTGTGTATCAACTTGTCAGGTTTGATCTTGTGTTGTGTATCAACTTGTCAGGTTTGATCTTGTGTTGTGTATCAACTAGTCAGGTTTGATCTTGTGTTGTGTATCACTTAGTCAGGTTTGATCTTGTGTTGTTTATCAACTTGTCAGGTTTGATCTTGTGTTGTGTATCAACTAGTCAGGTTTGATCTTGTGTTGTGTATCACTTAGTCAGGTTTGATCTTGTGTTGTGTATCAACTTGTCAGGTTTGATCTTGTGTTGTGTATCAACTAGTCAGGTTTGATCTTGTGTTGTGTATCACTTAGTCAGGTTTGATCTTGTGTTGTGTATCAACTTGTCAGGTTTGATCTTGTGTTGTGTATCAACTAGTCAGGTTTGATCTTGTGTTGTGTATCAACTAGTCAGGTTTGATCTTGTGTTGTGTATCTACTAGTCAGGTTTGATCTTGTGTATCAACTAGTCAGGTTTGATCTTGTGTTGTGTATCACTTAGTCAGGTTTGATCTTGTGTTGTTTATCAACTAGTCAGGTTTGATCTTGTGTTGTGTATCAACTTGTCAGGTTTGATCTTGTGTTGTGTATCAACTAGTCAGGTTTGATCTTGTGTTGTGTATCAACTAGTCAGGTTTGATCTTGTGTTGTGTATCTACTAGTCAGGTTTGATCTTGTGTATCAACTAGTCAGGTTTGATCTTGTGTTGTGTATCAACTAGTCAGGTTTGATCTTGTATTGTGTATCAACTTGTCAGGTTTGATCTTGTGTTGTGTATCAACTTGTCAGGTTTGATCTTGTGTTGTGTATCAACTTGTCAGGTTTGATCTTGTGTTGTGTATCAACTTGTCAGGTTTGATCTTGTGTTGTGTATCAACTAGTCAGGTTTGATCTTGTGTTGTGTATCACTTAGTCAGGTTTGATCTTGTGTTGTTTATCAACTTGTCAGGTTTGATCTTGTGTTGTGTATCAACTAGTCAGGTTTGATCTTGTGTTGTGTATCACTTAGTCAGGTTTGATCTTGTGTTGTGTATCAACTTGTCAGGTTTGATCTTGTGTTGTGTATCAACTAGTCAGGTTTGATCTTGTGTTGTGTATCAACTAGTCAGGTTTGATCTTTTGTTGTGTATCAACTAGTCAGGTTTGATCTTATGTTGTGTATCAACTTGTCAGGTTTGATCTTGTGTTGTGTATCAACTAGTCAGGTTTGATCTTGTGTTGTGTATCAACTAGTCAGGTTTGATCTTGTGTTGTGTATCTACTAGTCAGGTTTGATCTTATGTTGTGTATCATGTTGTCAGGTTTGATCTTGCGTTGTGTAACAACTTGTCAGGTTTGATCTTGTGATGTGTATTATGTTGTCAGGTTTGATCTTGTGTTGTTTATCAACTAGTCAGGTTTGATCTTGTGTTGTGGATCAGCTTGTCAGGTTTGATCTTGTGTTGTGTATCAACTAGTCAGGTTTGATCTTGTGTTGTGTATCATCTAGTCAGGTTTGATCTTGTGTATCAACTAGTCAGGTTTGATCTTGTGTTGTGAATCAACTAGTCAGGTTTGATCTTGTGTTGTAAATCATCTAGTCAGGTTTGATCTTGTGTATCAACTAGTCAGGTTTGATCTTGTGTTGTGTATCAACTAATCAGGTTTGATCTTGTGTCCAGTCTATGGATATACTAGTCAGGTTTGATCGTGAGTAGCATTGTTTCACGTGCTGCCAGAGTTGTTGTGAGCAAGATAATCAGTAGGAAGTGCTTTAAGATTTACAAAAGTAGCTATTGCCGACATTATTATTTTTATTTTTATTAAATGTAGTGATGGTATCAAAGAAAACTCTTAATTAATATATTTATAACATTAGATGATAAATATTGCTGTTTTTGTAATATTTAATTTAAATCTCATAATAATAACTTAATTTAATATAACATATCTTTTCATTGAAAGGTGATAGATAGACTTTCAAAACAAATTGCGAGTAAAGAATAGAAACGGAAAACAGATACGCAACATTTTGCACAGTTTAGGATTTTACTTAATAAACACAACATAACTAATATGACAATGCCTTCGGGTAACGTGCTAATTATATTATAAATATATACCTATGATAACATAAAAAAAAGCTTGAGATTTAATTTTGCATTAGAATGTGCCATGTAGTAATCTCATTTGTAAAATATCACGTCAAACAAACCCACTCTTATATATATGTATATATATATATATATATATATATATATATACATACATATATATATATATATATATATATATATATATATATATATATATATATATATATATATATACACATTTGGTTTTTTTTTTGTTTTTTTTTAGTAACGACCTACGACGCGATGAAAGAACATACCATTAATGCACCAGTCTGAACTCTAGAAAATCACTGATATCTGAATATTTACATATAGCATAAGCGCATCATAGATTCCCGTAACTGCCTCATGCTCTTCAACAGTGGAGAAAATAGCTTAATATACATATTAATATCATAGAAGCTTTCCTTATGATGTCAGATAGGTTATATATTTTTCATTAAAGTAGCAATGACCGTGAGATATTTCATCTCTATAACAGGTTCCTGGCTAAGACATTATATATATATATATATATATAATGTGTGTGTGTTTGTGAGTGTATATATATATATATATATATATATATATAATGTGTGTGTGTTTGTGAGTGTATATATATATATATATATATATATATATATATATATATATATATCGAGCAAATCAATACAAGTGTAGATTTTGCCACAAGGCTTTAACCGAATGCTCTCTGATTTAATCTATTTTTCTTTAGTTCTCAGCTAGCTAATGGCTGGTGCTATAATACCATAAATATTGATAACCAGTGTGGGTAGAGTTTGTTGCATTAATTTTTTGAAAAGTTTTAACACTAGAGGGGGGGGGGGGGGGGGGGGGTAAACGCTTAAACGATCAAATAACAATAGAAAATTAATTCAAACGTTTAATCTTGACAAAACCAATATAGTAGGTCCATGTGTTAGACTTATTACCCCCGTCCCCCAATACAGAAAAACTGCGTGGCAAATCTACAGGTAATACCAAACATTCTATAGATTATACTTTATACGAAAACTGAAAACAAAAATAAATCATAAAGAACAGTTTGATTTCATCAACATTCTTAATGTTCAACACAGCGATGTTTTAATATACGAAGAGAAAAACTAACGGAGCCAATGCAACATCTACTCTGTTGATATTATATAGTCTAGATCTAGATCTTTCTGTTTGTGGCTGGTGCCTTTCATTTTATTTTATCTAGATCTGATTAGATTAACCCACTAGATTTAACTATTAAATTAAAATAAAATTGATTTAATTTGTTTCAGCTTATGGAGCTAAATACTTCTAAAGACGTGCTAGTACATATTTCAATAGTATATTTAAACATCCACCTAATGCTAAATAAGTTTTAAAAATTCAACCGATTTATTTACCACTTAAACCTGCAGGTTTTACTTTGAAAATCTTTCATTAACCCATATTCTGCTAGCGTCCCACTTATGGAACGCTTGTAAAAAAAAATTGCTAAAATTTATTAAAAACTAGTTAAAACACAAAATATGTTTCATTGTATTTGAAAATGGCTAGACTATTGAATTTGTGTGTGTTTTGTGAAAAAAAATTAAATTAGAAAAATGTTATAGTGCCTGATTTGCAGGACTATTCAAAATGGCGGAAAAAAGAAAACATGCGCACAGGAAAATGCATATCTTCTAAAATATTAACATTTTAAGTGCAAAATACATTTGAAACTTGTAGCAGTACCATATTTCTTTCTGATAAAAATTTAAAAATAGCAATTTTTTTTTACTACTTCGTTATATCAAGTGTGCAACAAGCGTCCCATAAGTGGGACGCTAGCAACGAATGGCCCCATGTAGATTGTTACACAAACGTCACATTTATTGGACACTAGCGTGAAACACAGATGCAAATATTTATGTACAGCTTTACTTATTTCCAAGTGTTGTTCACTTTGATGGATGCTAGATTGAAAGAAAACTAGACTTTTGAACATAATTTCTGCATTTTAGACCATGGTATGACTAACCCAATTGATCATTATCAGTATTTTTAGCTGTCCTAAACAATGTAATCATTGGTCTAACAATACAAAATCAGTATACAGCTTAATTTTTGCGTTATTAGCCATATTTCGTGATAAATGATTTTATTTTTCAATAAATGTACATGGGGCCGTTCGTTGCTAGCGTCCCATTTATGGGACGTTTCTTAAAAAAATCGATATTTAAAAAAGTATTGATTTAAAAAAAAAAATCCATAGTCATTCCTTCACTCAGTGCCCAAAAGCTAAACCATATCAAAAAATTATAAAAATTTGAGACCTTGGGATAATATGGGTTAAAAAGATGGTAAGGATAGAATTGCGTCTTTTGACCAGACGAAGTACACATATCCGTTCATTTGCAGTAGATGGTAGTCGAAAAGGTGCTTGCTTTTCTAATCATGGTGCGTATCCAAAATCATGTAGAGTAACGTGCCGAATATTATATTAGATATATTATTTTGTTTCTTGGCAAATTTGTTTCCTTCTCAAACTACCAGAAACACATCATCAGCTGTTTTGTTGAGTGGAATTCATTTAGAGCTAGAACCTACCTATAGAGGCGACACTTGGCAAAGCTAGACTTTTGGAACGATTTCCATCTGAAGGGTTGTCAGGAGGCTCACATACAATATTTAGGTGAGTAATCCAAAATTTTTTTTAGAAGATTATGAATTCATTGTTTATTTGGCTTAAAATATAATATTTTATGAATGGTGGAAATCCTACGAAGGGGTTGATTTTTCACGATAGCCGCCATTGTCATAGTTACCAAGATTTTTCCACCAATTTTTACTTTCTCTTATACAGAGTATAGAGAAAGTATTGTAATCGTGCACAAAAATCACATGAAGTTTCGACAGTTTTCACCGTTTTACTCTTCAGTCCTTCATAACATACGGGATATACAGGACTTATTTTAATCGGGCAAAAATTGTAAATCTAGATTTATCAAAATGTTTGTGTTTTATGCAGAATGGAGTATCCAATTATATATATAAAACTTTTGTGCGCTTTCCGATAAACGGAAGTGGAACTTTTTCTACTTTAAATTTTTCAAAAGCCTATAACTTGAGTACTATTTCAGATAGATAAATGAAATTTCGCATGTAAGTAAAATATCTAATACCCTGCCTTCTTTCGAATTTTGAGCGATTTCCGTTGACCAAAAGTAGTAATTTACGCCATTTCCAATTTCTCAGAAAATGCATGTGAATTTATAAAGTACTCATAATATTCCGCACTATCATGCACATTTTATTTGGCGTTCACTTGGTGTGCAATTCTTTTTTTTCTACGAGATTTTATTCTATTTTAAAAAAGTTTAAGTATTTAAAATGGATAAAAATCATGTCTATACTCCTAGTGTCCATCCTCTGTTGTTTCATATAAGAATATTCGAGAAAGATTAGGGGAGATAACTCCCGGTTTAATGTAGTGGAAACACGTATGCAGATGTACTGTAAAACAACTATAGAGAAACAATTGTTTCCTAACGAGTATTAAAAAAGTTTTTTTTGTAACAGAGCCTACCCCTCCCCCTTTAATTGATTTGTTATTCGATTAAATATGTATATACGAGTTATATAAATTACTGCATTCTTTCACCATGAGGGTTAACAATTGATATTAAATTGAACTTCTGAATTAAGTAAATGTAAAATATAGTTATCACTTTCGAAATAAATTATATTTGTAACCGTCCTCAAGGGTCCACTATGAACAAACGTAATACCTTAAAGTAATATAGCACACAACCAAACTGGTGCTAACAATTCAACCACAAGCCCGAAAGAATGAATGAAAGGAAAAGCAATTTATTGCAACTTTAAAAAAGACATTCTAGTCTGTAAGAGCACTGTCTTATTGATCAGAGTTTCTTCGAGGCATCTCCCCCGAATGAAATGGAATTTATATAGAAAATACTTTTGACAGTGTCCGCCCCCCGGAAATTGTTGTCCGCCCGCCCAAAAAATTTCAAGTGCACCCCCGGAGAAAAAAGTCTGGAAGAAACACTGTTATTGATACGCTTACTTCAATGAATTAACTCTGAAAAGAACTTATTATTTTTTAAATCGTAAATTTGGAAAATAAACATTTTCTATACAACATTTGTATTTTGCAAACAGCCAGTGCTGTAACTTTATTTTAATTAAAATAAGAGAAGAACAACTCCGCCGCCTAAACACCACCAGCCTAATTTACTTTGACTTACAAAGCTCATTAGTGACACACGGTTGAGGCAACACTGGGATTCTCACCTAAACTTAAGACGGCTGCTGACTTAAGTTTATCTGTTCATTCTCCACTACCTTCAGTCCTTCTTGTACCAGTTTCAGTTTTTCCAAAAGATTATTTTTGACGTCAAACGTTCCCTCTCCTTCTTGTACCAGTTTCAGGCTCTCCGAAAGAATATGTTTGAGGTCAAACATTCCCCCTTCTTGCTGTGCTTGTCCTGCTTGTTCCATTACTCTGTGAATCCTTTGAGGTCAGCGCTCCGTGTCTCGCCTCTGTTGCACCAGATCTTCAAATCCCTTCTGGTGATTGCGTTCTATTTCCCTTCCCTGTAACTCATCGCGTTTTAAGTCCTCAATCTGATTTTCATAATCCTCTCTTTGATATTTCAGCTCTTTATCGAATACCTGTTTCTTTTCTTCTTCCTGTTGTCGACTTTGTTGTATTTCTTCAATACATCTGCGAGAGATAGCGCCTTCACCAGAAACCTGTTTTTGTAGAGAATCCAAGGTTTGAGTAAGTTCTTGAAGAGCTCCAGAACATTCTTCCTGCTTGGTCAGTATGACCTGTACAGTATTAGTTTGACTCATCATCTTGTCAAGTGTGGCTAAGTCTACTGTCTCATGTAAGACTTGAGGCTGGCCAACAACTGGACGTTCTTCTTTTACCGTGGCCTCGCCGTTTGTCGTGAGCACCTTTGGTTTGGCTGCCACATTATCTTTGATTTTCTGAGCCTTTTCATAGTGAACTTCCGTATAACGTCGATCGCGAAATCTCAACTCATCAACCATTTGAATTAAATTATCAATTTGTTCTTTTTTCTTTTTCTCGTCTTTGGTTTTATTATCAAACAAAATCACCCTATTGCAACACTCCTCGAGCAAATCCTTAAAGACGCCATCTTGCTTTTGGCACCAGTCTGAGAAGTCCGATCTTACTGGATCTGTTTCCTCCTGATCTTGATGAAAAACATCTCCGCATGTCAAAATTAAAATACAAAAGGTTTGAACGAAATCATCTCCGAATATTTTCTTTAACAACACAACCGACTCCTGTTCTTCACGTGTGAACCTATTGCCGTATTTCAGGACGAAAAGAAAAGCATGATAGCCGTCAGGATTGGCTGCCAGAGCCAATTTTGCTGCATCATTCAACTGCTCAACTGACCGTTCATTATCCAGCCTTGTGTCACAAAATGCCAGACCATCCACGACTTTAATCTGGCGACCGTTGTGTTCGGAGATATCGGCTTCGAACTCTTTCGTCACAGAAGATGTACTGGACTCGCTCGCAAACTTTCGTTTTCCTACAATGGAATTTCCAGTTGCACTTTTGCCATTCCCGGTTTTTCCAATCAAGAGCAGGTCGATCTTAGTTTGTATATTCATACTTTTCTGGAAACAGAGAAGCAAAATAATGTATAGCTGAAAATATTGGATAGCTGTAAAATATAAACATATGTAGCATAGCATCCATCAAATGTAAGGTATTTATTTTATCCAGTTCAGCTAAAGTTGAATGCATATCTGACACCAGGGGAAACAAGAATTCTATGTTTGACCAGAACTCGATAGCCCTACTAAAAGTTGTTTTTTTACAACAAAAAGATAGAGAAAATATAGATTTACCTTTCATTTCTGAGTACTCATAATTTGTAATAATGTTTTATACCATTATAAATCTAATATTTGTTATATCTTTCTTTATTCTTAAAATGTCAACTAAACAGTAGCATATTTTGCAAAAAAAAAAAGTTATCTATAACAATAAAGTCAAACTTTTGATCAGTACGGTATAGTTCTACTTATATTCAAGGAAATGTAATTATTTCACTACTAGAAACTAAATTCGATTCATTTCTAAATCCAACAACCATTGGTAGAAACTAGATCTTAGTCTGTTGCATAATGGGGTGGGGGGTGGGTGTAAAAATTTCACCTTCAATATAACAAAAATCTATCACTTTCTTATAGTACGCTCACAAGGCAGCTGAAGCATAAATCCTAGGGAAAAAAGTAGCGAGAGTTTTAGAGAGAGCGAACAAGTAGCTTTTAAAACATTTGCTTGATTACTTTATTTTTTAAAAATCACAATATTAATTTCATAATGCGACTGTAGAATAAGTAGAATTTCCTTTTATATTTGTTCAGTAAAAACATTTGGTGGCAGAAAATAGGAATAGCACAATGTTTTAACTCCTGCAGTAACTTACGATCTCTAAAAGACAGTTATCTACACATTCTTTGTCCGTGGGTACATCTCAAGCAAAAAAAAACCTAACCAGTTCACCGTCGTCAAGCAACTGATAGTTTAGAATCTTACCGTCTCCCCTTTTATATTAGTTAGGGAACATTAGTTATATATAAATGTCAAATCTAATGTCTAGGCTGACTCAGTATGTGAAATTGTTTCAGTGTCATCGGAGATGAATTTATATTGAAAGTTACAAAATCGTTGAATTATAAGTGGTTCGACATTAAGTTGCCAGATTTAGTAAAAATGCTGTAAAATAATATTTGAGCCATCAGTATCATACTTAAATATATATCACTTTACATGCTTCTAAAAAAAAAAACCAAACTAAATTATAAAATAAGAACGCTTATACAGACTTACCTTCAAATTTTCTTCATGCCCTACAGTATGTGGTCTGCTATTATTTATCCTGCAGCCATCTATGAATATAGAAGAAGGGGCATTACTATATATATATATATATATATATATATATATATATATATACATATATATATATATATATATATATATATATATATATATATATATAACAACACAAAAGTAAATAAAGAAAACATTAGGATATAAAAAATTACTTTAAAACTTAATTATTAGTCATTATTTATAAAATTGTATAAAATAAAGATTGTTGCAATAGAAAATGAAAATGCGTTCAAATTCACTATTATAGTATTAATATAAGTACAATCAACATCGATGAAAAATTTCATAATTTTTGTCGAACAAAATCTTAAAATCAAAATAAATTAGTTTAAAAATAAAATTGCAAGATCTAGGTTCAAGCAATATTACAATTTTTTAAATAGAAAACGCTTAACTAATCATCTAATTGAAAAAAATAATGAATTTATGTGGGAATTAATTACAAACCCATTAAATGCAGAGGTTAAGAAACAAATGAACTCTTTTTCATCCGCTCTATCGGTCTTTCATTCTCAAAGAGGAACTTTACTTCTTTTGGTGTTTTCAAAGTAATATTTATATATTCCAACTCGTATTTTTTTAATTATATGCGAAAGTTAGATACAATATTAGCTTGACCGTCCCCGCGTTATCCAGGGCGCCAAATCGCACCCTGCCGTGACGCCGCCCGTGCGAAATTGATTTCTTTTTTCCCCGGAAAATTCCCCAGTAGTATTCTTAACAACTTCCCAAAGTTTCATGGCTATCAGATGAAAGGTGTAGTATTGCATAAAAGACAGACTAACAAATTGAAAAACAAACACACACACATACATTGCATTTTATCTTCGTGTTATTAACTTCCATATATATATATATATATATATATATATATATATATATATATATATATATATATATATATATATATATATATATACATATATATATATATATACATATATATATATATATATATATATATATATATATATATATATATATATGGAATTTAAATAGCACGATGACGAACTCACCCCACAAGCTACAACAACTGACGTTTGTATAACCAGATTTATTTTAATAACAGTGACCATTATTTTTAAAACAGGAGTTAGACGATAGTTAAATATGTCACAAAAATTAAGGTGGAAAGTTTGTCCTCTCTCGGCTCATATGAGTAAAACTATTATGTAAAATGTCAAAGTTGTGTAATCAAATATGTAAACCCTACCTGAAACGTTCTTGAATAAACTTTCCTTTGATGATGAGGCAGAGCTTACGTCGAACTGCCGGTCAATTGAATTGGTCTTTTCACGATCCTCTGATACACCGAACTTTACTGCATGGAAAGAAAAAAGAAGGAAATTGATTAAATTGGTCACTTTTAATGTTTTGAACATCTAATAATATCAATCTAAGCTTTACCTCACTCCCACACGTGTAAATTTAGATGGTGAAAATAGTTTGCAAGATTTTCTGGCTGCTTGCCGCGCCCAGATTCGCGACTTACAGAACTAAATAAATGACAGCTACATCAATTACAGCTACAGTAATCAAAGCTATACGTATGACAGAAACAACAATCAAAGCTACACCAATCACAGCTACAGTAATCACAGCTACGATAATTACAGCTGCATCAATGACAGCTATAGCAATCACAGCTACAGCAATTACACCTACTTCAATCACAGCTACAGTTATCACAGCTACATCAATCAGATCTACAGCAATCGCAGCTACATCAATCACAGCTACAGCAATTACAGCTACATCTTTCACAGCTACAGCAATTACAGCTACATCATTCACAGCTACATCAATCACAGCTACATCAAGCACAGCTACATCAATCACAGCTACATCAATCACAGCTACATCAATCACAGCTGCAGTAGTCACCAAGTTTATTGGTTGGTCTCCCAGTTGGCTTTTTACATTTTTCACAACACAGCAGATCAGCCGATGCATCAAAAGCTTTGGAACTGGCAAACATGCAGCAGCCATTAGGACCTCCAACAGAACTCATGCAAGGTGGTCTTTTACAATATGGACGTCGGCCTGAAATGGAATTTTTCAAATTTTTCAAAAGGCTATAACTTGAGTATTGTTTCAAATAGATAAATGAAATTTCACATGTACTTTAATGATCACATTCAGTGCCTTACATCATATTTTGAGTAATTTCCGTTGACCGGAAGTAGTAGTTTTTGCTATTTCTGATTTCTCAAAAACGCATGTGAATTTATAAAGTACTAACAACAGATAACGTCTTCGTGTAATAATGCATATATATATATATATATATATATATATGTATATATATATATATATATATATATATATATATATATATGTATATATATATATATATATATATATATATATATATATATATATATATATATATATATATATATATATATATATATATATATATATATATATATATATAAATGGTGTCTTGTCAGAACGGCCCGGGACAAATTGGCCCAGTCAAAACGGACCCGATAATATGACCCCGTTAAATCGACCCCCGTCAAAACGACCCGGTCTAATGACCCCGTCAAAGTGGAACCATCAAAGTGGCTCCGACTTATTGGCTCCCGTAAAATAGGCTCATGTCATTTTAAAAAAGGAGTAAGACGTTAGTTAAAGATGCCACAAAAATTAAGGTGGAAATGTTGTCCTCTCTTGATTAATATCAGTAGAAAAATAGTGTGATATGTAAAAGGTGTTTAATCAAATATTTAAACACTACCTGAGAGGTCCTTGAATAAACTATCATTTGATGATGAGGAAGAGCTTTCGACGAGATGCCGGTCCAATAAAGTGTTCTTTCCGCGATCCTCCGATACACCGAACTTTACTGCATGGAAAGAAAAAAGAAGGAAATTGATTAAATTGGTCACTTTTAATGTTGTGAACATCTAATAATATCAATCTAAGCTTTACCTCACTCCCACACGTGTAAATTTAGATGGGGAAAATAGTTTGCAAGATTTTCTGGCTGCTTACCGCACTAAGATTCGTGACTTACAGAACTACATCAATGACAGCTACATCAATGACAGCTACAGTAATCACAGCTACATATATCAGATCAAGGACAATCACATCTACATCAATCACAGTTACAATAATCACATCTATTTAAATCACAGCTACAATAATCACCTCTACAGCAATCACAAAGTTTATTGGTTGGTATCCTAGTAGCTCCATCAAATATATTGGAACTATCAAACAGGCATCCATACGAACGTCCAACAGCGTTCATGCACGGTGGTCTGTTACAATATGGACGTCCGCCTAAAATGGAATTTATATAGAAAATATATACATTTACAAGTGTTCGACGCCCCGGAAAATTTTGTCCGCCACCAAAAAAAAATATATCAAATACCCCCCCCCCCCCCTCCAGAGAAAAAAGGCCGAAAGAAACACTACATGTGTAAAACTCGATTATTCTAGAAAGTTTAAGCCTTATATATTTCTTAAAACTCAGCAGACTTTCCGATGTATTACCTGGATTGCGACCGGCAAGCAAGCATCTATACGCACGTCCAACAGCATCCATGCAAGGTGGTCTGTTACAATATGGACGGCCGCCTGAAATGGAATTTATATAGAAAATATATACTTTTACAAGTGTTCGCCACCTCGGAAAATTTAGTCCGCCACCCGCCACCCTCGAAAATATCAAGTGCCCTTCTCCCACCCCCCCCCCCACCCCCCGCTCATATGTGTAAATTCGAATTACGTAAGATCGTGTAATATTTCATAAAATTTTTGACTAATCTTTTAGAATCCATTTAGAAAACCATGTAATAGACAGGAACTACCTCAAGTTTTTTTTTACTTTAAAATGAAACTAGGTTTCTCTCTTACTATTGCAAGTAAATAATTTCAAGTTATTAATAACTGAAATGGAAATAGTGCTTGATTTTTATTTTCAGGTATATACGAAGAAGAGGGAAGTGCAAAAAAATTTGTGTTTGTAAATCTCGACGTTTTACACCTCTCTGAGTCGAAAAAAATATAGCTTTGCAATCTTGTCCGTATGTCTGTGTGTTTGTGTAAGTGTGTTGTGTATGTGTGTGTGTCTGTTCGTCTGTGTGTGTGTGTGTCTGTAAACACGATAACTTGAGCACCGTTACAGCTAAGTTGATGAAATTTCAAATATAAGTATTATATCAAAATCGCAGATCCGTGTAAACATTTCAGCAATTTCCGATAACCGGAAGCGTAACGTTTTCTACTTTCAATTTTTCAAAAATCTATAACTTTAGTACTATTTCAGATAGATAAATGAAATTTCACATGTAAGTAAAAGTTCAAATTCTCTGCCTTCTGTTAAATTTGGAATAATTTCCGTTGAACGGAAGTAGTAACTTTTGCTGCTATTTCCGTTTTCACAAAAACGCTTGTGAATTTATAAAGTAAGCCTACTAATAATAATTCTGCAGTATTTTGCACATTTTATTTGGCGTTTACTTGGTGTGCAATTCTTTTTTCTAGAGATTTTATTCTAATTTAAAAAAATAAAGTATTAAAATGGATGAACAATCATGTCTGTATCCCGAGTTTCCATCTCATGTTGTTTTATGTAAGAATATTGGAGAAAGTTTAGGCCTATTATAATTCTCAAAACTCAGCAGATTGCCCGATATATTACCTGGAATGCATCCATTAAACAGGCATCCATACGAACGTCCAACAGCGTTCATGCAAGGTGGTCTGTTACAATATGGACGTCCGCCTGAAATGGAATTTATATAGAAAATATATACTTTTACAAATGTTCGCCACCTCGGAAAATTTAGTCCGCCCCCGGCCCCCTCCCCCCTCGAAAATATCAAGTGCCCCCCCCCCCCCCATGCAAGATCGTGTAATATTTCATAACATTTTTGACTAAACCTTCAAAATCCATTTAGAAAACCATTCAATAGACAGAAACTACTTTCTCGTATATGCGAAGTATAGAGAAAGTCTTGTAATCGTGCAAAAAAAAAAAAATCGAGATTTTTACAAATCTCGACGTTTTACACCTCACTGATACGGAAAAACATAATTTTGCAATCTTGTCCGTATGTCTGTGTGTCTGTCTGTGTGTGTGTAAACACAATATTTTGAGTACCGTTACAGCTAGATTGATGAAATTTCATATATAAGTGTTTTATCAAAATCGTAGATCCTGATCAACTTTTCAGCGATTTCCGATAACCGGAAGTGGTACTTTTTCTACTTTGAATTTTTCAAAAGCCTATAACGTGAGTTCTATTTCAGATAGATAAATGAAATTTTACTTGTAGTAAAAAATCTAATTCTCTACTTTCTGTCAAGTTTTGAATAATTTCTGTTGAACGGAAGTACTAATTTACGCTATTTCCGATTTCTCAAAAAACGCATGAAAATTTATTAAGTACTAATAATTCTGTTTTCTACTAGATTTTACTCTATTTTTAAAAGTTTAAGTAAACAAAAATCATGTCTATATTCCGAATTGCGATCCCACGTTGTGATATATTAGAATATTCGAGAAAGTTTAGGGGAGATCACTCTCGGTTTATTTTACTTATTACTTTTATTACTTATTTACTTTTATTTAATTAAACAAGATTTCTCTTTTACTATTGGGAGTTAAAAATTACAGTTCATTAATAACTGAAGCGGAAATAGTGCTTGATTTTTACATTCTCGTAGATCTATATACGAAGTATAGAGAAAGTCTTGTAATCGTGCAAAAAAAATTCGAGATTTTTTCAAATCTCGATGTTTTACACATCCCTGAGTCGGAAAAGCATAGTTTTGCAATCTTGTACGTATGTCTGTGTGTTTTTGTATGTGTGTGTGTATGTCTGATTATGTGTCTGCGTGTGTCTGTTACACGATAACTTGAGTACCGTTAAAGCTAAGTTGATAACATTTAATATTTAAGTATTATTTCAAAATCGTCGATACGTATCGATTTTTGAGCGATTTCCGATAAACGGAAGTGGAACTTTTTCTACTGTCAATGTTTCAAAAAGACTATAACTTGAGTACTATTTCAGATAGTTAAATGAAATTTCACATGTAAATAAAAGATCAAATTCTCTGCCTTCTGTCAAATTTGGAATAATTTCCGTTAAATAGAAGTAGTAATTTTACTTACATACGAGGATTAAGCAAGTACATTATAAACATTATAATTTAATTTTCAAAATCTATTTGTAGAAATTAAACTATAGGCTACCTGGTACCATTTTTGAAGAACACTTTTCAGCTTCTCGTCAACACAACAAGATTTATCTGTTTAAAAAAATTAAGTAGATTTAATGTATTACTTTAAATATTTCGCACACCTAAGAATAAAGTATTAGTAATTTGTGCTTCGCATTACTGTCGTTTGTAGTTTCTAAATGGGGAAAATATTTGGCAACTTTTTACATTGGCAAAATTACACGCTTTAATACTCAGACAAACACAACCATAGATAAAACAATTAGAGTTTCTTTCAGGCATCTCTTCGAAGAACGTCTACCGCTCTTCATTGAACGAAATGGAATCTATATAGAAAACATATACTTTTACCAGTGCGCCCGTAAAATGTTGTCCGCCAATGAGAAAATTCCCCCACCCCCCGGAGAAAAACGTCTGCAAGAAACACTGATAACAATACAGTCATTTAATATCTTCAGCACTAGATTTCGAGAACTTATACTGTCGCTGCAATAAACCAGTTCTGATGGGTATCTGACCCTATTTACGGTCACGTCATATGCCTAAGTCACATAAATAGGTGAACTCTACTCCACCTGGACCACCAGATTTGAGAGAGCATATTTACTTGCAATGTTGTGCAAGATTACGTATAAAACGATATTATCCCGACTCCTTAGGGTGCACTACAGCTCACTTGGTAACGTCTTGTTGTATCTGGATTGGTCTACTGTAACAGGCACGTGGAACTCTATGTCCTGCTTGCAATCTAGCATAGTGCTCTAGTTGATTTCATGTGCAGTATCTAAACTTAATACTGAATTACTATATCCATATGAGAGAATCACTGTTTGCAGGCGTAAACCAAATTATTCTATGTACAAATAGAGAAAAGGAGAACTTTAGTGAGAATCAAAACTTAATACGTTACCTGCTCAAAGCAATATATTCACATTCCTCTTCATTAACATAGCTAAAGGGTTCTTCCCATTATGATCAAAATCATCTCACCAAATCATCGTATCTGTCTATACATGTTGCAAAGTAAGAGAGCTTTTACAGTTTAAAATTATGTCCTTTCAACCCACCGCATACTAGTATACACAATTCTTTGAAAAAAAAGCAAGATATTTATAAAAGTGATAAAATAGGTTTTTCTAGCCCCACCCCCCCCTCCTCCCTTTTCAGCCTGTCATCTCTTTAAACAGATAGATCATCATTAAAAGAGTTGAATAACCCCCCCCCCCCCCCACACACACACACACACACGCATGGTAGAATAGTAGGCACGTGTCTACACAATTTAGGAAAATGTTAAATGTGAAAGCTCGGTAAACTGTGCTGTCTTAGCACATCCACTGCTCTGAGCTTAGCACATCGACCGCTCTGAGCTTAGCAGATCCACTGGCTCTGAGTTTAAATGAAAACTGCGGTTGTTTTCTATGGTTTAAAACCCGTTCAATGGGCGCCAGCGAGTTAACTCCTCCCATCATGTTAATGACAAGGATTAAAAACGTGCTTTTTTTGAGATTTAGTAAACAAAGCGACCGTAAAAATAAAAACGTAAGCTTAAAATTAATTCAGAAATTTTAAATTTTTAGAATCAATGCTATAAAAGTTGCAACTCCAGAGAACTTGAAAATAATTTGTTGAGTTTAAGGCTACATTTTTATTTATTTTCACTTTCGTAAGACAAATATTGTCTCCGTGATCGACAACTCTTTGTTTACAAAACTTTGCAGAAACAGTTTTTAAAAAAACAATGCAAATTTAGACCCCATGACATAGTTTTCCTTTGTTTTCGCTTACAATGTTTACAATAAATTTTATGGCAGCCTATCAAATAGCAGGATGAAATTGTTTATGTCGCCATTACACGTGAAAACCAAATAATTTTTGCTTTTTTATTTTTTATTTAGTTACCAAAAATATTAAAAACATCAAATACATTCAATCTTCAGTAAAGTCCGAAAAAAACCAGACTGACAGGATTGTATAACCATATTAATTGTAACTAAGCCTTGCACGATTTTTAAATTAATTAATGGGCTTCTCGAATACCTACTCGCTCGCGTCCATTAGTGATTAGATGGACAGTATGACTCAATATTTTTGGACGTTTGGAAGAAGTCTGAATTACATGGTACATGAACTATAAGAAATCTGTTCATGTTAAATATTGAGTAAATATACGATAGAGCGTCGGTTATTATTCCGGAATTGTACAGCAGTAAAAAAAAGTAAAGCCATGGCGTAGTCTCCCGAGCCGTTCCGGAAACCACCGAAAATACTGTAAACCATCATTTATTTGCCGCCATATTATTTTTAATACATAATGTTTTAAAATGTGCATGGATTGATTTTGATTGCATTTTAAATAATGTTTTGCTAATTATTTTGTATTTCTATTTATTTTAAGTGTATGTGCTAATTATTGCTGCAACTGAACATTGTTCTAGTTCTTCTCTACTTTTAATTATAGTAAATCTAATCGTCTTATTTTACTAAATCTAGATGTAGTTGTCGCAAATCTTCTGCAAGTTTTTTTTTGTTTCTTTATTAAAAAGAGATTAATTACTACACTTGACTTCATTAATAATATTCAGATTTACTAATTGTTGCTCATTTTCTGTCAATTAAACAAAAAATTAAGTTAAACATTAGTTTAATGCGCTAGACTTTATTCTTATTTCAACGGTCAAATAAACTATGGTTTACAGTAACGAATGTTCCCGAAACTCAACAAACATTACCAGATAATTTCCGACGCTATATCGTGAGATTACCAAACATCGTTTATAAAGTTAACATATGTATTTTATTACCGTGTAAACCTCTGGCCGATCGAATTTTTAAAATTTAAATGGATGTTCTCATTAATATCACTTTAATTGTTGTTCGTGGACAAGATGATGGAAATACAACTGTTCATTTCCGCGTACCGCTTAAATCAGAACTAGTGCTCCCTTTTAAAATCATGGTGTGCAATCTTAATCACAAACATGGTGTGCAACCTTAAACATAAACGTGTAGGCTTTGAGCTCGCAGTGGAGAATCCATGATGTTGGTGTAAAATGTGATACAAATAAAAATAGCAAATCATTTTTTTAAAAACTCACCGGCAATGTGTCATTGTTTGATCTAATGTGTAGCTACGATACGTTTAGTAACACAACTTCATGTGTGCGCCAGCTGATCTTTTAATTCACGAGGTAAAAACCACACTAACACATAAGAGAGTGCCTAGAACTCAGTCAATCAGTTCAAACAATCCAGAAGTAGAACAACAGAAGCTGGCTGATTTTACCAGAAGGTTGCAGGTTTCCTGACTCCCCATCTTCTTTCCAGTTTGTGTATATACTAGTCAGGTTTGATATTGTGTTGTGTATCAACTAGTCAGGTTTGATCTTGTGTTGTGTATCAACTAGTCAGGTTTGATCTTGTGTTGTGTATCAACTTGTCAGGTTTGATCTTGTGTTGTGTATCAACTTGTCAGGTTTGATCTTGTGTTGTGTATCTACTAGTCAGGTTTGATCTTGTGTTGTGTATCAACTAGTCAGGTTTGATCTTGTGTTGTGTATCAACTAGTCAGGTTTGATCTTGTGTTGTGAATCAACTAGTCAGGTTTGATCTTGTGTATCAACTAGTCAGGTTTGATCTTGTGTTGTGTATCAACTAATCAGGTTTGATCTTGTGTCCAGTCTATAGATATACTAGTCAGGTTTGATCTTGAGTAGCATTGTTTCACGTACTGCCAGAGTTGTTGTGAGCAAGAGAATCAGTAGGAAGTGCTTTAAGATTTACAAAAGTAGCTATTGCCGACATTATTCTTTTTATTTTTATTAAATGTAGTGATGGTATCAAAGAAAACTCTTAATTAATATATTTATAACATTAGATGATAAATATTGCTGTTTTTGTAATATTTAATATAAATCTCATAATAATAACTTAATTTAATATAACATATCTTTTCATTGAAAGGTGATGGATAGACTTTCAAAACAAAGTGCGAGTAAAGAATAGAAACAGAAAACAGATACGCAACATTTTGCACAGTTTAGGATTTTACTTAATAAACACAACATAACTAATATGACAATGCCTTCGGGTAACGTGCTAATTATATTATAAATATATACCTATGATAACATAAAAAAAAGCTTGAGATTTAATTTTGCATTAGAATGTGCATGTAGTAATCTCATTTGTAAAATATCACGTCAAACAAACCCACTCTTATATATATATATATATATATATATAAATATATATACATATATATATATATATATATATATATATATATATATATATATATATATATATACATTTGTTTTTTTTTTGTTTTTTTTTGAGTAACGACCTACGACGCGATGAAAGAATATACCATTAATGCACCAGTCTGAACTCTAGAAAATCAATGATATCTGAATATTTACATATAGGACAAGCGCATCATAGATTCCCGTAACTGCCTCATGCTCTTCAACAGTGGAGAAAATAGCTTAATAGACATATTAATATCATAGAAGCTTTCCTTATGATGTCAGATCGGTAATATATTTTTCATTAAAGTAGCAATGACCGTGAGATATTTCATCTCTATAACAGGTTCCTGGCTAAGACATTATATATATATATATATATATATATATATATATATATATATATATATAATGTGTGTGTGTGTTTGTGAGTGTATATATATATATATATATATATATATATATATATATATATATATATATATATATAATGTGTGTGTGTTTGTGAGTGTATATATATATATATATATATATATATATATATATATATATATATATATATATATATATATCGAGCAAATCAATACAAGTGTAGATTTTGCAACAAGGCTTTAACCGAATGCTCTCTGATTTAATCTATTTTTCTTTAGTTCTCAGCTAGCAAATGGCTGGTGCTATAATACCATAAATATTGATAACCAGTGTGGGTAGAGTTTGTTGCATTAATTTTTTGAAAAGTTTTAACACTAGAGGGGGGGGGGGGGGTAAACGCTTAAACGATCAAATAACAATAGAAAATTAATTCAAACGTTTAATCTTGACAAAACCAATATAGTAGGTCAATGTGTTAGACTTATTACCCCCGTCCCCCACTACAGAAAAACTGCGTGGCAAATCTACAGGTAATACCAAACATTCTATAGATTATACTTTATACGAAAACTGAAAACAAAAATAAATCATAAAGAACAGTTTGATTTCATCAACATTCTTAATGTTCAACACGGCGATGTTTTAATATACGAAGAGAAAAACTAACGGAGCCAATGCAACATCTACTCTGTTGATATTATATAGTCTAGATCTAGATCTTTCTGTTTGTGGCTGGTGCCTTTCATTTTATTTTATCTAGATCTGATTAGATTAACCCACTAGATTTAACTATTAAATTAAAATAAAATTGATTTAATTTGTTTCAGCTTATGGAGCGAAATACTTCTAAAGACGTGCTAGTACATATTTCAATAGTATATTTAAACATCCACCTAATGCTAAATAAGTTTTAAAAATTCAACCGATTTATTTACCACTTAAACCTGCAGGTTTTACTTTGAAAATCTTTCATTAACCCATATTCTGCTAGCGTCCCACTTATGGGACGCTTGTAAAAAAAATTGCTAAAATTTATTAAAAACTAGTTAAAACACAAAATATGTTTCATTGTATTTGAAAATGGCTAGACTATTGAATTTGTGTGTGTTTTGTGAAAAAAAATTAAATTAGAAAAATGTTATAGTGCCTGATTTGCAGGACTATTCAAAATGGCGGAAAAAAGAAAACATGCGCACAGGAAAATGCATATCTTCTAAAATATTAACATTTTAAGTGCAAAATACATTTGAAACTTGTAGCAGTACCATATTTCTATCTGATAAAAATTTAAAAATAGCATTTTTTTTTTACTACTTCGTTATATCAAGTGTGCAACAAGCGTCCCATGAGTGGGACGCTAGCAACGAATGGCCCCATGTAGATTGTTACACAAACGTCACATTTATTGGACACTAACGTGAAACACAGATGCAAATATTTATGTACAGCTTTACTTATTTCCAAGTGTTGTTCACTTTGATGGATGCTAGATTGAAAGAAAACTAGACTTTTGAACATAATTTCTGCATTTTAGACCATGGTATGGCTAACCCAATTGATCATTATCAATATTTTTAGCTGTCCTAAACAATGGAATCATTGGTCTAACAATACAAAATCAGTATACAGCTTAATTTTCGCGTGATTAGCCATATTTCGTGAAAAATGATTTCATTTTTCAATAAATGTACATGGGGCCGTTCGTTGCTAGCGTCCCATTTCTTAAAAAATCGATATTTAAAAAAGTATTGATTTAAAAAAAAATCCATAGTCATTCCTTAATTCAGTGCCCAAAAGCTAAACCATATCAAAAAATTATAATAATTTGAGACCTTGGGATAATATGGGTTAAAAAGATGGTAAGAATAGAATGGCGTCTTTTGACCAGACGAAGTACACATATCCGTTCATTTGCAGTAGATGGTAGTCGAAAAGGTGCTTGCTTTTCTAATCATGGTGCGTATCCAAAATCATGTAGAGTAACGTGCCGAATATTATATTAGATATATTATTTTGTTTCTTGGCCGATTTGTTTCCTTCTCAAACTACCAGAAACACATCATCAGCTGTTTTGTTGAGTGGAATTCATTTAGAGCTAGAACCTACCTATAGAGGCGACACTTGGCAAAGCTAGACTTTTGGAACACTTTTTATCTGAAGGGTTGTCACGAGGCTGAGTAATCCAAAAATATGGTAGAAGATTATGAAATCATTGTTTATTTGGCTTAAAATATAATATTTTATGAATGGTGGAAATCCTACGAAGGGGTTGATTTTTCAAAATTGCCGCCATTTTCATAGTTACCAAGATTTTTCCACCAATTTTTACTTTCTCGTTTAAAGAGTATAGAGAAAGTATTGTAAACCTGAACAAAAATCACATGAAGTTTTGACAGTTTTTACGGTTTTACTCTTCAGTCCCTCCTCACATTTAGGATATACAGGACTTATTTTAATCGGGGAAAAATTATAAATCTAGGTTTATCAAAATGTTTGTGTTTTATGCATAATAGAGTATCCAATTCTGTCTGTGTTTGTGTGTAAACACGATAACTTGAGTATCGTAACAGCTAGGTTAATGAAATTTCATATACAACTATTATAACAAAATCGTAAATCCGAAAAAAACTTGTGTGCGCTTTCCGATAAACGGAAGTGGAACTTTTTCTACTTTAAATTTTTCAAAAGCCTATAATTTGAGTACGATTTCAGATAGATAAATGTAATTTCGCATGTAAGTAAAAGATCTAATACCCTGCCATCTTTCGAATTTTGAGCGATTTCCGTTGACCAAAAGTAATAATTTACACTATTTCCCATTTCTCACAAAACGCATATGATTTTATAAAGTACTCATAATATTCCGCACTACTATACACATTTTATTTGGCGTTCACTTGGTGTGCAATTCTTTTTTTCTACGAGATTTTAATCTATTTTAAAAAGTTTCCATCCTCTGTTGTTTCATATAACAATATTCGAGAAAGATTAGGGGAGATAACTCCCGGTTTAATGTAGTGGAAACACGTATGCAGATGTACTGTAAAACAACTATAGAGAAACAATTGTTTCCTAACGAGTATTAAAAAAGTTTTTTTTGTAACAGAGCCTACCCCTCCCCCTTTAATTGATTTGTTATTCGATTAAATATGTATATACGAGTTATATAAATTACTGCATTCTTTCACCATGAGGGTTAACAATTGATATTAAATTGAACTTCTGAATTAAGTATATGTAAAATATAGTTATCACTTTCGAAATAAATTATATTTGTAACCGTCCTCAAGGGTCCACTATGAACAAACGTAATACCTAAAAGTAATATAGCACACAACCAAACTGGTGCTAACAATTCAACCACAAGCCCGAATGAAAGAATGAAAGGAAAAGCAATTTATTGCAACTTTAAAAAAGACATTCTAGTCTGTAAGAGCAATGTCTTATTGATCAGAGTTTCTTCCAGGCATCTCCCCCGAACGAAATGGAATTTATATAGAAAATACTTTTGACAGTGTCCGCTCCCCTAGAAATTGTTGTCCGCTCGCCCAAAGAATTTCAAGTGTATCCCAGGAGAAAAAAGTCTGGAAGAAACACTGTTATCGATACGCTTACTTCAATGAATTAACTTGAATTAAATTTGGAAAATAAAAATTTTCTATACAACATTTGTATTTTGCAAACAGCCAGTGCTATTTACTTTATTTTCATTAAAATAAGAGAAGAAAAACTCCGCTGCCTAAACGCCACCTGCGTTATGGTGCCAACACGTGTATAAATTAACGGAACTTTGATTTTTCACAGCTCATTAATGACACACGGTTGAGGCAACACTGGGATTATCACCTAAACTTAAGACGGCTGCTGACTTAAGTTTATCTGTGCATTCTCCACCTGCTTCAGTCCTTCCTGTACCTGTTTCAGGCTTTCCGAAAGATTATTTTTGAGGTCAAACGTTCCCCCTCCTTGCTGTGCTTGTCCTGCTTGTTCCATTACTCTGGGAATCCTTTGAGGTCCGCGTTCCGTGTCTCGCCTCTGTTGCACCAGATCTTCAAATCTCTTCTGATGATTGCGTTCTATTTCCCTCCTCTGTAACTCATCGCGTTTTAAGTCCTCAATTTGATTTTCATAATCCTCTCTTTGATATTTCAGCTCTTTATCGAATACCTGTTTCATTTCTTCTTCCTGTTGTCGAATTTGTTGTATTTCTTCAATACGTCTGCGAGAGATAGCGCTTTCATCAAAAACCTGTTTTTGTAGAGAATCCAAGGTTTGAGTAAGTTCTTGAAGAGCTCCAGAAAATTCATCCTGCTTAGCCAGTAAGACCTGGACAGTATTAGTTTGACTCAACATCTTGTCAAGTGTGACTAAGTCTACTGTCTCATGTGAGACTTGCGGCTGGCCAGCAACTGGACGTTCTTCTTTGACCGTGGTCTCGCCGTTTGTCTTGAGCACCTTTGGTTTGGCTGCCACATTATCTTTGATTTTCCGAGCCTTTTCATAGTGAACTTCCGTATAACGTCGATCGCGAAATCTCAACTCATCAACCATTTGAATTAAATTATCAATTTGTTCTTTTTTCTTTTTCTCGTCTTTGGTTTTATTATCAAACAAAATCACCCTATTGCAACACTCCTCGAGCAAATCCTTAAAGGCGCCATCTTGCTTTTGGCACCAGTCTGAGAAGTCCGATCTTACTGGATCTGTTTCCTCCTGATCTTGATGAAAAACATCTCCGCATGTCAAAATTAAAATACAAAAGGTTTGAACGAAATCATCTCCGAATATTTTCTTTAACAACACAACCGACTCCTGTTCTTCACGTGTAAACCTATTGCCGTATTTCAGGACGAGAAGAAAAGCATGATAGCCTTCAGGATTGGCTGCCAGAGCCAATTTTGCTTCATCATTCAACTGCTCAACTGACCGTTCATTATCCAGCCATGTGTCACAAAATGCCAGACCATCCACGACTTTAATCTGACGACCCTTGTGTTCTGTGATATCGGCGTCGAACTCTTTCGTCACAGAAGATGTACCGGACTCGCTCGCAAACTTTCGTTTTCCTACAATGGAATTTCCAGTCGCACTTTTGCCATTTCCGGTTTTTCCAATCAGGAGCAGATCGACACTAGGTTGTATATTCATACTTTTCTGGAAACAGAGAAGCAAAATACTGTATAGCTAGAAAATATTGGATAGCTGTAAAATATAAACATATGTAGCATAGCATCCATCAAATGTAAGGTAGTTATTTTATCCAGTTCAGCTAAAGTTGAATGCATATCTGACACCAGGGGAAACCAGAATTCTATGTTTGTTCAAAACTCGATAGCCGTACTAAAAGTTATATTTTACAACACTAAGATAGAGAAAATATAACTATTATTTCTTAGTACTCATAATTTTTAAGAGCATTATAAATCTAATATTTGTTATATCTTTCTTTGTTCTTAAAATTTCAATTAAACAGTAACATATTTTGCAAAAAAAAGTTATCTATAACAATAAAGTCAAACTTTTGGTCAGTACGGTATAGCTCTACTTATATTCAAGGAAATGAAATTATTTCACTACTAGAAACTATAATCGATTCATTTCTAAATCCAACAACCATTGGTAGAAACTAGATCTTAGTCTGTTTCAATATGAGTTGGGGGATGTTAAAAATTCACCATCAATATAACAAAAAATCTATCACTGTCTAATAGTACTTTCACAATGTAGCAGACGCATAAATGCTTGGGAAAAACGTAGCGAGAGTTGTTTTAGGTGGAGCAAAAAATTTACTTTTAAAACATTTACTTGATTTCTTTATTTTTCAAAAATCATAAAATTAATTTAATAATGCTACTGTACAATAAGTAGAATTTACTTTTATATTTGTACAGTAAAAACATTTGGTGGCAGAAAATAGGAATAGCACAATGTTTTCACTCCTGCAAAATTTAATTTAGGGATCATTATTTATGTATAAATGACTAATCTAATGTTTAGTAGACTCAACTTGTGAAATCATTTCAGTGTCATCAGAGATTAATGTATATGGAAAGTTATGAAATCGTAGAGTTAAAATGGGTTTGAAATTAATTTACTAGATTTACTAAAAATCCTGCCAAATAATATTTGAGCCGCTCGTACCATTTTTAAATGTTATGCATGCATATCACCTTACATGCTACTCAACAAACCGTCAAACTAAATTCTATAATACTGACTCTTATACAGACTTACCCTCAAGTTTTCTTCATGCTTTACAGTATGTGGTCTGCTAATATTTATCCTGCAGCCATCTATGAATATGGAAGAAGGGGCATTACAATTATATATATATATATATATATATATATATATATATATATATATATATATATATATATATATATATATATATATATATATATATATATATATATATATATATATATATATATATATATATATATATATATATATATATATATATATATATATATATATATATATATATATATATATATATATATATATATATATAACTATAACAACACAAATGTTAACAAAGAATACATTAGGATAAAAAAAATTACTTTAAAACTTAATTATTAGTCATTGTTTATTAATTTTAGATTGTTGGAATGGAAAATGAAAATGCGTTCAAATTCACTATTATAGCATTAATATAAGTACAATCAACATCGATGAAAACTTTCATAATTTTTTGTCGAACAAAAATTTAAAATTAAAATAAATCAGTTTTAAAAAAATCGCAAAATCTAGGTTCAAGCAATATTATATATATTTTTATAGCAAACGCTTAACTAATTATCTAATTGAAAACAGTTAATGAATTTGTGTGGGAATTAATTACAAACCCATTAAATGCAGAGTTCAAGAAACAAAGAGGAACTTTACTTCTTTTGGTGTTTTGAAAGTAAATTCTATATATTCCAACTTGTATTTTTTAATAATATGTGAAAGTTAGATTCAATACTAGCTTGCCCGTCCCTGCGATATCCAGGGCTCCAAATCGCACCCTGCCGTGACGCCGTCCGTGCGAAATTGAATTCTTTTTTCCCCCAGAAACCTGCCCAGTACTATTCTTAACAACTTCCCAAAGTTTCATGGCGATCAGATAAAAGGTGTTGCAATGCATAAAAGACAAAATCAAAATCTTACGAAATATATTAGAAGGGTTTTATCAATGCTTTACCAATCCTATATTTTAGACGCGTGACCTGGTTTTTTGAAAACTGAGTTATTTAAATGTAAACACTGGCTCCATTTGAGCCATATTTATAAGGGTACGGGGTTCCTACACTACTTCCCAAAAAAGCCCGTTTGCCAAATAATACTCTGCCGGGGCGCCAGCGGACGCGCTTGATTACGTATAGTGAACGACTCTAAAACACAACTTTTACATAGTCTTTCGCAAAGTTTGAAACGGAAATAGGAGGCGTCATATCGCTAACAGGATAGCCCGGGATTTTAAATCTTACCCTGCCGATGCACCGCCGGGCGCCCCATCATATCCATTGTCTATCTAACTATTTAAAAAGAACGAAGGCACCATAGCGCTCAAGGAAATTCCACGGCGCCAAATCGGTTCCTGGCGTGGGCCGCCCGTGCGAAATTAGCCCCCCCCCCCCCCACCCCAAATCTTCTCGGGAGTATTCATCAACTCCTCAAAGTTTTATGGCACTCGGACAAAACGGTTCCGAAACCGCATCCGACTTTCAATTTTTTGATATACGTATATAGATAAGAATCGCACCCTCCCGTGGCGCCGCTCTTGCGATATTAAAAATATATTTTTTCACAGCAGTAACCTTTCTTGGAGTGTTCTCGTCAACTTCTTAAAATTTGATGGCGATCTGGTGAACGGTGTCAAACCGAAATCGACTTTTTTTTAATATACCGTATATAGAGAAAAAACAAATAACGTCTTCGTTTAATATTGCACAAAGGACAAACACACACACATACATTGCTTTTTATATGTATGTGTATATATGTATATGTATATGTATATGTATGTATATATATATATATATATATATATATATATATATATATATATATATATATATATATATATATATATATATATATATATATATATATATATATATATAATGCAATGTATGTGTGTGTGTGCGTGTGTGTTTGTTTGTTAATTTGTTTGTCTGTCTTTTATGCATTAATACACCTTTCATCCAATTGGCATGAAGCTTTGGAAATTTGTTGAGAATACTCATGGGGAAGTTTCTACGGGGAAAAATATTCAAATTTGCAGTTGTGGCACCGCAGAATGCGATTTGTTTTTCTCTATATATGGTATATATATATGTGTGTGTGTTTGTGTGTAAATAAAACGAAGACGAACTCACCCCACAAGCTACACCTCAAGTTTATATAACCACATTTATTTTAATATCAGTGAACATTATTTTTTAAACAGGAGTTAGACGATAGTTAAAGATGCCACAAAAATTAAGGTGGAGATTTTGTCCTCTCTTGATTAATATGAGTAGAAAAAAAAGTGTGAAATGTAAAAGGTGTTTAATCAAATATTTAAACCCTACCCGAGAGGTCCGTGAATGAACTCTTATTTGATGGGGAAGAGCTTTCGTCGAGATGCCGGTCCATTGAAGTGTTCTTTCCACGATCCTCCGATACACCTTGCGTTTCAACATGGAAAGAAAAAAAAACAAGGAAATAGGTTCGATTGATTTCTTCTAATGTCGTGAACATCTCATAATGTCAATCTATGCTTTACCTCACTCCCATTCGTGTAAATTTAGATTGGGAAAACAGTTTGCAAGATTTTCTGGCTGCTTGCCGCACTCAGATTCGTGACTTACAGAACTACATCAATGACAGCTATATCAATGACAGCTACATCAATGACAGCTACATCAATGACAGCTACATCAATGACAGCTACATCAATGACATCTACACCAATGACAGCTACATCAATGACATCTACACCAATGACAGCTACATCAATGACAGCTACATCAATGACATCTACAGCAATGACAGCTACATCAATGACAGCAACATCAATGACAGCTAGATCAATGACAGTTACATCAATGACAGTTACATCAATGACAGCTACATCAATGACATCTACACCAATGACAGCTACATCAATGGCAGCTACATCAATGACAGCTACATCAATGACAGCTACATCAATGACAACTAGATCAATGACAGTTACATCAATGACAGTTACATCAATGACAGCTACATCAATGACAGCTACATCAATGACAGCTAGATCAATGACATTTACATCAATGACAGTTACATCAATGACAGCTACATCAATGACAGCTACATCAATGACAGCTACATCAATGACATCTACACCAATGACAGCTACATCAATGACATCTACACCAATGACAGCTACATCAATGACAGCTACATCAATGACATCTACAGCAATGACAGCTACATCAATGACAGCAACATCAATGACAGCTAGATCAATGACAGTTACATCAATGACAGTTACATCAATGACAGCTACATCAATGACATCTACACCAATGACAGCTACATCAATGGCAGCTACATCAATGACAGCTACATCAATGACAGCTACATCAATGACAACTAGATCAATGACAGTTACATCAATGACAGTTACATCAATGACAGCTACATCAATGACAGCTACATCAATGACAGCTAGATCAATGACATTTACATCAATGACAGTTACATCAATGACAGCTACATCAATGACATCTACACCAATGACAGCTACATCAATGACAGCTACATTAATGACAGCTACACCAATGACATCTACATCAATCACAGCTATATCAATGACAGCTACATCAATGACAGCTAGATCAATGACAGCTACATCAATGACATCTACATCAATGACAGCTAGATCAATGACAGCTACATCAATCACAGCTACATCAATGACAGCTACATCAATGACAGCTAGATCAATGACAGCTACATCAATGACAGCTACATCAATGACATCTACACCAATGACATCTACATCAATGACAGCTACATCAATGACATCTACAGCAATGACAGCTACATCAATGACAGCTAGATCAATGACAGCTACATCAATGACAGCTACATCAATGACATCTACACCAATGACATCTACATCAATGACAGCTACATCAATGACATCTACAGCAATGACAGCTACATCAATGACAGCTACATCAATGACAGCTAGATCAATGACAGTTACATCAATGACAGTTACATCAATGACAGCTACATCAATGACATCTACACCAATGACAGCTACATCAATGACAGCTACATTAATGACAGCTACACCAATGACATCTACATCAATCACAGCTATATCAATCACAGCTACATCAATCACAGCTACACCAATCACAACTACATCATTCACATCTACAGCAATCACAGCTACAGCAATCACAACTTCATCAATTGCAGCTACATCAATCACAGCTACATCAATCACAGCTACATCAATCACAGCTACATCAATCACAGCTACAGTAGTCACCAAGTTTATTGGTTGGTTTCCTATTGAAAAACCCAGTTGTCCCAGTAGATGGGTCATAATACAGTTGAGCCGATGTTTCAAATGGACTGTTAAACATACAGCAGCCATATGGAGTCATGTCAGGTGGCCCGCATGGACGTGGGCCTAAGCCTGAAATTAAATTTATATAGAAAATATAATCTTTTACACGTGTTCGCCGCCCCGGAAAATTTAGTCCGCCACCAAAATAAAATATCCAGTGAACACCCCCCTCCCCGAGAAAAAGTCTGAAAGAAACACTGCATGTGTAAAACTCAATATACATTCAATATACATAAGCTGCGTTACTTATTTTGGCTTTTAAACTGAAACTAGATTTTTCTTTTGCTAGGCGAGTTAACTATATCAGTTCATTAATAATTGAAACAGAAATAGTGCTTGATTTTTACTTTATCGTATACACGAAGTATAGAGAAAGTCTTGAAACCGCGCAAAAAAAATTGAGATTTTTTGCAAATCTGGACATTTTACGACTCCCTGAGGAATAACATAGTTTTGCAAGCTTGTTCGTATCCCCCCCCCCCCCCAAACCCCCCCTGCCTACGCCACTGTCCGTATCTGTGTGTGTGTGTATGTGTGTGTCTGTAAACACGATTACTTGAGTACAGTTACAACTAGGTTGATCAAATTTCATATATAAGTATTATATCAAAATCGGAGATCCGCATCAACTTTTGAGCGATTTTTGATAACCGGAAGTGGAACTTTTTCTACTTTAATTTTTTATAAGCCTATAGCTGGAGTTCTATTTCAGATAGATAAATGAAATTTCACATGTAATTAAAAAGTTTCTGCCTTCTGTCGAATTTTGAATAATTTCCGCTGACCGGAAGTAGTCAATCCCTTTTGTTTCATATAAGAAAGTTTAGGCCTATTATATTTAACAAAACCCAACAGATAAACCGATGTATCACCTGGAATAGAACCGCCATTGGACGTCCAAAAGCAGGCGGCCTTATACAAGGTCTCATACAAGATGGATATCCGCCTGTGTTGTAAGGAATGCTATATCCTATTTGAAATCCATCTGGTGTGAGATCTAGAACTAGTACGAATTTAAATGCATCTACGGACTGTAAGTCTACAGATCTGGTACTAGTGTCAGAGTTTTTCTAGGCATCTCTTCGGAGCCACCACCCCCCCCCCCCCCAAAGAAAGTCTACCGCCCCCCCCCGCCCCGCACTAATAGAATTTATATATAAATAATATACTTTTCCTAGTGACCGCCATCCCGGCAAATTTAGTCCGCCCCCCCCCCTGAAAATATCAAGTGCCCCCCCCCCTGAAGAAAAAAGTCCGCCAGAGTTGTAACCAACGGCATTGTAAGCCACAGGACTGCTATCTCGCATATAGCATCCATTTGGACTGAGACTATTATTTATGACATCTGAAGATACGTAAGAACCCAATCCATGTTCACCTCGGTCAACTCGATGAAATTTAACTGTTTTATATAAGAGGTAATGGAGAATTATATATATATATATATATATATATATATATATATATATATATATATATATATATATATATATATGTATAGGGCCTACATTCATCGCCTATTCTTTTCCTCTTGCCCACTAAGCTGTTAATTTTTATAGTTTTTTCATAGAAAGTATACATGATTTAGCGGCCTAAGGTTCTCTTCCGCAGTCGACAATCTGTTGTTGTTGTTAATGATATTCTTAAAACAAACCTTTCCGAACTGTCTTTGTAGAAGACACACGTTTAATCTTCAAACCTCTCAATGCAATACATCTTTCTATTAACCCCAAAACAAACCCAAACACTCCCATCCTCCGGTAGCGATACTGCTCTGTATGGGAACCACTGGTGTGGGTTAAGCATGTATGTATCCTTAAAGTAAAACTATGGTGCTTAAGATCACTGTACTAACATCTTTTATATGATGAACTAAGAGCATGGAGGAGAGAGATGGAAGAAGTGCAGGCTACTGGCAAGACCTGGCATGAATTGAAGTGGCTCAACCAGGACAGAGTGAAATGGCGAAGATTTGTTGCTGCCCTTTACTCAACAGGGAGTGACGAGGATTAAGTAAGTACATTATATAAATTAATATTCAAAATCTATGTGTAGAATTTAAACTATAGGCTACCTGGTTCCATTTTTGAAGAACCCTTCTCGTAAACACAACAGGATATATCAGAATCTGTTTAAAAAAAATTAGTGGATTTAATGTATTACTTTTAATGTTTCGCACACCTAAGAATAAACAATGTGTTATTTGTGCTTCACATCACTGTCGTTTCTAAATGGGGAAAATAGTTGGCAACTTTAAACATTGGGAAACAGTAGGCCTACATGCTTTAAACGTTTGACTAACACAACCATAAACATATCATGTACGGTCATCTAATATCTTCAGCACTAGATCTCAAGAACTCATGATGATGCTGCAATAAACCAGCTCTGATGGGTATCTGACCCTATTTACGGTCACATCATATGCCTTGGTCACATAAATAGGTGAACTCTACTCCGCCTGGGCCACCAGATTTGCGAGAGCAAATTTACTTGCAATGTTGTGCAAGATTACGTCTAAAACGAGATTATCCCGACTCCTTAGGGTGCACAACTGATCACCACTTGGTGACGTCTTGTTGTATCTGGATTGGTCTACTGTAACAGGCATGTGGAGTTCTATGTCCCTACTGCACTCTTGTAATGTGCTCTAGATTATTTCATGTGCAGTATATACATTTAATACTGAATGACTATATCCATATGAGAGGATCACTGTTTGCAGGCGTAAACCAAGTTATTCTATGTACAAATAGAGAAAAGAAGAACTTTAGTGAGAATCAAAACTTAATACGTTACCTTCTCAAAGCAATATATTCACATTCCTCTTCATTAACATGGCTAAAGGGTTCTTCCCATTTTGATCAAAATCACCTCCCTTCAAATCATCGTATCTGTCTATACATGTTGCAAAGTAAGAGAGCTTTTACAGTTTAAAATGATGTCCTTTCTACCCACCGCTTACTAGTATACACAATTCTTTGAAAAAAAAGCAAGATATTTAAAAAAGTGATAAAATAATGTTTCATAAGTTTTTCTAGCTCAGCCCCCCCCCCCCTTTTTCAGCCTGTCATGTCTTTAAACAGATAGATCATCATTAAAAGAGTTGAAGAACCCCCCCCCCCCACACACACACACACACGCATGGTAGAATAGTATGTACGTGTCTACACAATTTAGGAAAATGTTAAATGTGAAAGCTCGGTAAACTGTGCTGTCTTAGCACATCCACTGCTCTGAGCTTAGCACATCGACCGCTCTGAGCTTAGCAGATCCACTGGCTCTGAGTTTAAATGAAAACTGCGGTTGTTTTCTATGGTTTAAAACCCGTTCAATGGGCGCCAGCGAGTTGACTCCACCCATCATGTTGTTGACAAGGATTAAAACGTGCTTTTTTTTAGATTTAGTAAACAAAGCTACCGTAAAAACAAAAACTTACGCTTAAAATTAATTCAGAAATTTTAAATTTTTAGAATCAATGCTATAAAAGTTGCAACTCCAGAGAACTTGAAAATAATTTGTTGAGTTTAAGGCTACATTTTTATTTATTTTCACTTTCGTAAGACAAATATTGCCTCCGTGATGGATAACTATTTGTTTATAAAACTTTGCAGAAATAGTTTTTAATAAAACAATGCAAATTTAGACCCCATGACATAGTTTTCCTTTGTTTTCGCTTACAATGTTTACAATAAATTTTATGGCAGCCTATCAAATAGCAGGATCAAATTGTTTATGTCGCCATTACACGTGAAAACCAAATAATTTTTGCTTTTTTATTTTTTATTTAGTTACCAAAAATATTAAAAACATCAAATACATTCAATCTTCAGTAAAGTCCAAAAAAAACCAGACTGACAGGATTGTATAACCATATTAATTGTAACTAAACTAAGCCTTGCACGATTTTTAAATTAATTAATGGGCTTCTCGAATACCTTCTCGCTCGCGTCCATTAGTGATTAGATGGACAGTATGACTCAATATTTTTGGACGTTTGGAAGACGTCTGAATTACATGGTACGTGAACTATAAGAAATCTGTTCATGTTAAATATTGGGTAAAATTACGATAGAGCGTCGGTTATTATTCCGGAATTGTACAGCAGTAAAAAACAGTAAAACCATGGCGTAGTCGAAAATACTGTAAACCATCATTTATTTGCCGCCATATTATTTTTAATACATAATGTTTTAAAATGTGCATGGATTGATTTTGATTGCATTTTAAATACTGTTTTGCTAATTATTTTGTATTTCTATTTATTTTAAGTGTATGTGCTAATTATTGCTGCAACTGAACATTGTTCTAGTTCTTCTCTACTTTTAATTATAGTAAATCTAATCGTCTTACTTTACTAAATCTAGCTGTAGTTGTCGCAAATCTTCTGCAAGTTCTTTTTTGTTTCTTTATTAAAAAGAGATTAATTACTACACTTGACTTTATTAATAATATTCAGATTTACTAATTGTTGCTCATTTTCTGTCAATTAAACATAAAATTAAGTTAAACATTAGTTTAATGCGCTAGACTTTATTCTTATTTCAACGGTCAAATAAACTATGGTTTACAGTAACGAATGTTCCCGAAACTCAACAAACATTACCAGATAATTTCCGACGCTATATCGTGAGATTACCAAACATCGTTTGTAAAGTTAACATATGTATTTTATTACCATGTAAACCTCTGGCCGATCGAATTTTTGAAATTTAAATGGATGTTCTCATTAATATCACTTTAAATGTTGTTCGTGGACAAGATGATGGAAATACAACTGTTCATTTCCGCGTACCGCGCAAATCAGAACTAGTGCTCCCTTTTCAAATCATAGTGTGCAATCTTAATCACAAACATGGTGTGCAACCTTAAACATAAACGTGTAGGCTTTGAGCTCGCAGTGGAGAATCCATGATGTTGGTGTAAAATGGGATACAAATAAAAATAGCAAATCCTTTTTTAAAAAACTCACCGGCAATGTGTCATTGTTTGATCTAATGTTGTTGATCTAATTTGTAGCTACGAAACGTTTAGTAACACGACTTCATGTGCGCGCCAGCTGATCTTTTAATTCACGAGGTAAAAAACACGGTTCCCAGAAAGAACCGCAACGGAAAAAAGCGCAACGGAAAAAAGCGCAAAACAAAAACCGCAAAGGAAAAAAGCGCACACAGAAAAAAGCGCAAAGAGAAAAAAGCGCAAACGGAAAAAAGCGCAAAGAGAAAAAAGCGCACACGGAAAAAAGCGCAAAGAGAAAAAAGCGCACACAGAAAAAAGCGCAAAGAGAAAAAAGCGCAAACAGAAAAAAGCGCACAAAGAAAAAAGCGCAAACAGAAAAAAGCGCAAACGGAAAAAAGCGCAAACGGAAAAAAGCGCAAACAGAAAAAAGCGCAAACGGAAAAAAGCGCAAACAGAAAAAAGCGCACACAGAAAAAAGCGCAAACGGAAAAAAGCGCAAAAAGAAAAAAAGCGCAAACAGAAAAATGCGCAACCAGAAAAAACAACAAAAAATTTGCAAAAGAGAAATTTAGCACAAAGACCATATGGACTAGATGACACATTTATACATGACTGTTAGGACTGCTGTGAGAGTGTCGTGTTTGATCACGTTATCTACTACCATTTAAAGCGTAAGAATATTCGAGAAAGTTTAGGGGAGATCACTCCCGGTTTATTTAAGATATTTTACTGAAATGTTTACCGGACGAATGCAAAATGATATAAACAACCATAGCTCTTCTGTTATATATGCTACATGCAGTGTTTCTTCCAGACTCCCCCCCCCCCCTCAAACTTTCGATTTGCAACCCCCCCCCCCCCTCAAACTTTCGATTTGCACCCCCCCTTATACTTTATATATATATATATATACCAAGGGGTCTATGGGGGGGGGGGGTTGACCCCCCCTAACCCCCCCTGCCTACGCCACTGCATATAAGTATTCGCATAGATTTTGAGTAGAGTCCCTTTTGTTTACATGTTTTCATTACCCTTCAAACTAAAGTCTATTTTAGTTATATTGATATTAAAGAATGTAAATAAACAGTACACATAATTCTGTAGAATAGGAACAATTGGGAGGGAAGTAACATTTAGCGCAGGAAATTTAGAGGTTAGGTAGGGTATAATAAATGGTGGGGTTAGGAAAGTTAAGGGGTCCATTCTCTAATAGGCAGTCTATGTCTCTTTCGTACTTTCGTTTTGGTTTATTGTCGAACCTGTCCCCACCTCACATCACAACAGTTGGGTGACGCTTACCGTGTAATGTTAAAATAAATAGCATGTAATTGAGTTAGTTCGAAGTGAGTTTTCATACAAGCCCAACGCACTAATTAAGGTTGTCGCTAAATGTAACATATATGTAACATATGTCAATGATGTCAATGAATTTTCATTAAAAAAAAGATGTCTAGTACAGTTTACGAAACTTACGAACTTCGCCGATACATTTTGGTGGGTAGGTTGGTAAGTATGTAGGCGGGTAGGTGGGTAAGTGGGTAAGTGGGTAGGTGGGTAGTTAGGTAGGTAGTTAGGTAGGTAGGTGGTTAATAGGTAGGTAGGTAGGTGCGTCATGATGTGAAAAAAACATTAAATACATAATTGTTATTTTGGTGCGAATGAATGTTGTTACGAGAGATATGACGAATGCATGTTTGATGACGCGGATGAAAGAGAGTGAAGTTTTGCCATATGAACGGGTTGTTACGGTATGCAAGCTAGGTAGTTCGGACTAGGGAGAATGTGAAAGATACTTCGTGTAATGTCGATAGTTTTATGTTTATACGAGAATAGTAGTAGAATAATTATTGACCAAGAAAATAATAGGCATTGTGTAAACTGATTATCGCCTGTATCGTGGTGATGGGAATGCAGATGGTAGTGGTACGCTTTAAATGGTAGTAGATCACGTGATCAAACACGACACTCTCACAGCATCACTAACAGTCATGTATAAATGTGTCATCTAGTCCATATGGTCTTTGTGCTAAATTTCTCTTTTGCAAATTTTTTGTTGTGTTTTTTCTGGTTGCGCATTTTTCTGTTTGCGCTTTTTTTCTTTTTGCGCTTTTTTCCGTTTGCGCTTTTTCTGTGTGCGCTTTTTCTGTTTGCGCTTTTTTCCGTTTGCGCTTTTTTCTGTTTGCGCTTTTTTTCTGTGTGCGCTTTTTTCTGTTTGCGCTGTTTTCCGTTTGCGCTTTTTTCTGTTTGCGCTTTTTTCCGTTTGCGCTTTTTTCCGTTTGCGCTTTTTTCCCTGTGCGCTTTTTTCTGTTTGCGCTTTTTTCCGTTTGCGCTTTTTTCTCTTTGCGCTTTTTTCCGTTTGCGCTTTTTTCCTTTGCGCTTTTTGTTTTGCGCTTTTTTCCGTTGCGCTTTTTTCCGTTGCGGTTCTTTCCGGCCACCAAAAAACACACTAACACATAAGAGAGTGCCTAGAACTCAGTCAATTTGTTCAAACAAGTAGAACAACTGAAGCTGGCTGATTTTACCAGAAGGTTGCAGCTTTCCTGACTCCCCATTTTCTGTCCAGTTTGTGTATATACTAGTCAGGTTTGATGTTGTGTTGTGTATCAACTAGTCAGGTTTGATCTTGTGTTGTGTATCAACTAGTCAGGTTTGATCTTGTGTTGTGTATCAACTAGTCAGGTTTGATCTTGTGTTGTGTATCAACTAGTCAGGTTGGATCTTGTGTTGTGTATCAACTAGTCAGGTTTGATCTTGTGTTGTGTATCAACTAGTCAGGTTTGATGTTGTGTTGTGTATCAACTAGTCAGGTTTGATCTTGTGTTGTGTATCAACTAGTCAGGTTTGATCTTGTGTTGTGTATCAACTAGTCAGGTTTGATCTTGTGTTGTGTATCAACTTGTCAGGTTTGATCTTGTGTTGTGTATTAACTAGTCAGGTTTGATCTTGTGTTGTGTATCAACTAGTCAGGTTTGATCTTGTGTTGTGTATCAACTAGTCAGGTTTGATCTTGTGTTGTGTGTCAACTAGTCAGGTTTGATCTTGTGTTGTGTATCAACTAGTCAGGTTTGATCTTGTGTTGTGTATCAACTTGTCAGGTTTGATCTTGTGTTGTGTATCAACTAGTCAGGTTTGATCTTGTGTTGTGTATCAACTAGTCAGGTTTGATCTTGTGTTGTGTATCAACTAGTCAGGTTTGATCTTGTGTTGTGTGTCAACTAGTCAGGTTTGATCTTGTGTTGTGTATCAACTAGTCAGGTTTGATCTTGTGTTGTGTATCAACTTGTCAGGTTTGATCTTGTGTTGTGTATCAACTAGTCAGGTTTGATCTTGTGTTGTGTATCAACTAGTCAGGTTTGATCTTGTGCTGTGTATCAACTAGTCAGGTTTGATCTTGTGTTGTGTATCAACTTGTCAGGTTTGATCTTGTGTTGTGTATCAACTAGTCAGGTTTGATATTGTGTTGTGTATCAACTTGTCAGGTTTGATCTTGTGTTGTGTATCAACTTGTCGGGTTTGATCTTGTGTTGTGTATCAACTAGTCAGGTTTGATCTTGTGTATCAACTAGTCAGGTTTGATATTGTGTTGTGTATCAACTTGTCAGGTTTGATCTTGTGTTGTGTATCAACTTGTCGGGTTTGATCTTGTGTTGTGTATCAACTAGTCAGGTTGGATCTTGTGTTGTGTATCAACTAGTCAGGTTTGATCTTGTGTTGTGTATCAACTAATCAGGTTGGATATTTTGTTGTGTATCAACTAGTGAGGTTTGATCTTGTGTTGTGTATCAACTAGTCAGGGTTGATCTTGTGTTGTGTATCAACTTGTCAGGTTTGATCCTGTGTTGTGTATCAACTAGTCAGGTTGGATATTTTGTTGTGTCTCAACTAGTCAGGTTTGATCTTGTGTATCAACTAGTCAGGTTTGATCTTGTGCTGTGTATCAACTAGTCTGGTCTGATCTTGTGTTGTGAATCAACTAGTCAGGTTTGATCTTGTGTTGTGTATCAACTAGTCAGGTTGGATCTTGTGTTGTGTATTAACTAGTCAGGTTTGATCTTGTGTTGTGTATCAACTAGTCAGGTTTGATCTTGTGTTGTGTATCAACTTGTCAGGTTTGATCCTGTGTTGTGTATCAACTAGTCAGGTTGGATATTTTGTTGTGTATCAACCCATATTCTGCTAGCGTCCCACTTATGGGACGCGGGACGCTTGTAAAAAAAAATTGCTAAAATTTATTAAAAACTAGTTAAAACACAAAATATGTTTCATTGTATTTGAAAATGGCTAAACTATTGAATTTGTGTGTGTTTTGTGAAAAAAAATTAAATTAGAAAAATGTTATAGTGCCTGATTTGCAGGACTATTCAAAATGGCGGAAAAAAGAAAACATGCGCACAGGAAAATGCATATCTTCTAAAATATTAACATTTTAAGTGCTAAATACATTTGAAACTTGTAGCAGTACCATATTTCTATCTGATAAAAATTTAAAAATATCAATTTTTTTACTACTTCGTTATATCAAGTGTGCAACAAGCGTCCCATAAGTGGGACGCTAGCAACGAATGGCCCCATGTAGATTGTTACACAAACGTCACATTTATTGGACACTAACGTGAAACACAGATGCAAATATTTATGTACAGCTTTACTTATTTCCAAGTGTTGTTCACTTTGATGGATGCTAGATTGAAAGAAAACTAGACTTTTGAACATAATTTCTGCATTTTAGACCATGGTATGACTAACCCAATTGATCATTATCAGTATTTTTAGCTGTCCTAAACAATGTAATCATTGGTCTAACAATACAAAATCAGTATACAGCTTAATTTTTGCGTGATTAGCCATATTTCGTGAAAAATGATTTTATTTTTCAATAAATGTACATGGGGCCGTTCGTTGCTAGCGTCCCAATTATGGGACGTTTCTTAAAAAAATCGATATTTAAAAAAGTATTGATTTTAAAAAAAAATCCATAGTCATTCCTTCATTCAGTGCCCAAAAGCTAAACCATATCAAAAAATTATAAAAATTTGAGACCTTGGGATAATATGGGTTAAAAAGATGGTAAGAATAGAATGGCGTCTTTTGACCAGACGAAGTACACATATCCGTTCATTTACAGTAGATGATAGTCGAAAAGGTGCTTGCTTTTCTAATCATGGTGCGTATCCAAAATCATGTAGAGTAACGTGCCGAATATTATATTAGATATATTATTTTGTTTCTTGGCCGATTTGTTACCTTCTCAAACTACCAGAAAAACATCATCAGCTGTTTTGTTGAGTAGAATTCATTTAGAGCTAGAACCTACCTATAGAGGCGACACTTGGCAAAGCTAGACTTTTGGAACACTTTCCATCTGAAGGGTTGTTACGAGGCTGAGTAATCCAAAAATATGGTAGAAGATTATGAAATCATTGTTTATTTGGCTTAAAATATAATATTTTATGAATGGTGGAAATCCTACGAAGGGGTTGATTTTTCAAAATTGCCGCCATTTTCATAGTTACCAAGATTTTTCCACCAATTTTTACTTTCTCGTTTAAAGAGTATAGAGAAAGTATTGTAAACGTGAACAAAAATCACATGAAGTTTTGACAGTTTTTACGGTTTTACTCTTCAGTCCCTCCTCACATTTAGGATATACAAGACTTATTTTAATCGGGGAAAAATTATAAATCTAGGTTTATCAAAATGTTTGTGTTTTATGCATAATAGAGTATCCAATTCTGTCTGTGTGTGTGTGTGTAAACACGATAACTTGAGTATCGTAACAGCTAGGTTAATGAAATTTCATATACAACTATTATATCAAAATCGTAGATCCGAAAAAAACTTGTGTGCGCTTTCCGATAAACGGAAGTGGAACTTTTTCTACTTTAAATTTTTCAAAAGCCTATAATTTGAGTACTATTTCAGATAGATAAATGTAATTTCGCATGTAAGTAAAAGATCTAATACCCTGCCATCTTTCGAATTTTGAGCGATTTCCGTTGACCAAAAGTAATAATTTACACTATTTCCCATTTCTCACAAAACGCATATGATTTTATAAAGTACTCATAATATTCTGCACTACAATACACGTTTTATTTGGCGTTCACTTGGTGTGCAATTCTTTTTTTCTACGAGATTTTAATCTATTTTAAAAAGTTTAAGTATTTAAAATGGATAAAAATCATGTCTATACTCCGAGTTTCCATCCTCTGTTGTTTCATATAACAATATTCGAGAAAGATTAGGGGAGATAACTCCCGGTTTAATGTAGTGGAAACACGTATGCAGATGTACTGTAAAACAACTATAGAGAAACAATTGTTTCCTAACGAGTATTAAAAAAGTTTTTTTTAAAAGAGCCTACCCCTCCCCCTTTAATTGATTTGTTATTCGATTAAATAGGTATATACGAGTTATATAAATTACTGCATTCTTTCACCATGAGGGTTAACAATTGATATTAAATTGAACTTCTGAATTAAGTATATGTAAAATATAGTTATCACTTTCGAAATAAATTATATTTGTAACCGTCCTCAAGGGTCCACTATGAACAAACGTAATACCTAAAAGTAATATAGCACACAACCAAACTGGTGCTAACAATTCAACCACAAGCCCGAAAGAAAGAATGAAAGGAAAAGCAATTTATTGCAACTTTAAAAAATACATTCTAGTCTGTAAGAGCACTGTCTTATTGATCAGAGTTTCTTCGAGGCATCTCCCCCGAATGAAATGGAATTTATATAGAAAATACTTTTGACAGTATCCGCCCCCCGGAAATTGTTGTCCGCCCGCCCAAAAAATTTCAAGTGCACCCCCGGAGAAAAAAGTCTGGAAGAAACACTGTTATTGATACGCTTATTTCAATGAATTAACTCTGAAAAGAACTTATTATTTTTTAAATCGTAAATTTGGAAAATAAACATTTTCTATACAACATTTGTATTTTGCAAACAGCCAGTGCTGTAACTTTATTTTAATTAAAATAAGAGAAGAACAACTCCGCCGCCTAAACACCACCAGCCTAATTTACTTTGACTTACAAAGCTCATTAGTGACACACGGTTGAGGCAACACTGGGATTCTCACCTAAACTTAAGACGGCTGCTGACTTAAGTCACCTGACATTCGCTGACTTAAGTTTATCTGTTCATTCTCCACTAGCTTCAGTCCTTCCTGTACCAGTTTCAGTTTTTCCAAAAGATTATTTTTGATGTCAAACGTTCCCTCTCCTTCTTGTACCAGTTTCAGACTTTCCGAAAGAATATTTTTGAGGTCAAACATTCCCCCTTCTTGCTGTGCTTGTCCTGCCTGTTCCATTACTCTGTGAATCCTTTGAGGTCCGCGCTCAGTGTCTCGCCTCTGTTGCACCAGATCTTCAAATCTCTTCTGGTGATTGCGTTCTATTTCCCTCCTCTGTTGCTCATCGCGTTTTAAGTCCTCAATCTGATTTTCATAATCCTCTCTTTGATTTTTCAGCTCTTTATCGAAGACATGTTTCATTTCTTCTTCCTGTTGTCGACTTTGTTGTATTTCTTCAATACATCTGCGAGAGAAAGCGCTTTCATCAGAAACCTGTTTTTGTAGAGAATCCAAGATTTCAGTCAGGTATTGAAGAGCTCCAGAAAATTCTTCCTGCTTGGTCAGTATGACCTGGACAGTATTAGTTTGACTCAACATCTTGTCAAGTGTGACTAAGTCTACTGTCTCATGTGAGACTTGCGGCTGTCCAACAACTGGACGTTCATCTTTTACCGTGGTCTCGCCGTTTGTCGTGAGCACCTTTGGTTTGGCTGCCACATTATCTTTGATTTTCTGAGCCTTTTCATAGTGAGCTTCCATATAACGTCGATCGCGAAATCTCAACTCATCAACCATTTGAATTAAATTATCAATCTGTTCATTTTTCTTTTTCTCGTCTTTGGTTTTATTATCAAACAAGATCACCCTATTGCAACACTCCTCGAGCAAATCCTTAAAGGCGCCATCTTGTTTTTGGCACCAGTCTGAGAAGGTCAATCCTACAGAATCTGTTTCCTCCTGATCTTGATGAAAAACATCTCCGCATGTCAAGATCAGACAACAATAATTACTAACAAAATCATCTCCGAATATTTTCTTTAACAACACAACCGACTCCTGTTCGTCCCGTGTAAATCTATTGCCATATTTCAGGACGAGAAGAAAAGCATGATAGCCTTCAGGATTGGCTGCCAGAGCCAATTTTGCTTCATCATTCAACTGCTCAACTGACCGTTCATTATCCAACCTTGTGTCACAAAATGCCAGACCATCCACGACTTTAATCTGACGACCGTTGTGTTCTGTGATATCGGCGTCGAACTCTTTCGTCACAGAAGATGTACTGGACTCGCTCGCAAACTTTCGTTTCCCTACAATGGAATTTCCAGTCGCACTTTTGCCATTTCCGGTTTTTCCAATCAAGAGCAGATCAATACTAGGTTGTATATTCATACTTTTCTGGAAACAGAGAAGCAAAATACTGTATAGCTGCAAAATATTGGATAGCTGTAAAATATAAACTTATGTAGCATAGCATACATCAAACGTAAGGTATTTATTTTATCCAGTCCAATAAAAGTTCAATGCATATCTGACACCAGGGGAAACCAGAATTCTATGTTTGACCAAAACTCGATAGCCCTACTAAAAGTTGTTTTTTTACAACAAAAAGATTGAGAAAATATACCTTTTATTTCTGAGTACTCATAATTTGTAATAATTTTTTATACCATTATAAATCTAATATTTGTTATATCTTTCTTTATTCTTAAAATTTAACTAAACAGTAGCATATTTTGCAAAAAAAAAAAAGTTATCTATAACAATAAAGTCAAACTTTTGATCAGTACGGTATAGTTCTACTTATATTCAAGAAAATGTAACTATTTCAATACTAGAAACTATATTCGATTCATTTCTAAATCCAACAACCATTGGTAGAAACTAGATCTTAATCTGTTGCATAATGGGGTGGGGGGTGGGTGTAAAAATTTCACCTTCAATATAACAAAAATCTATCACTTTCTTATAGTACGCTCACAAGACAGCTGAAGCATAAATCCTAGGGAAAAAAGTAGCGAGAGTTTTAGAGAGAGCGAACAAGTAGCTTTTAAAACATTTGCTTGATTACTTTATTTTTTAAACATCACAATATTAATTTCATAATGCGACTGTAGAATAAGTAGAATTTCCTTTTATATTTGTTCAGTAAAAACATTTGGTGGCAGAAAATAGGAATAGCACAATGTTTTAACTCCTGCAGTAACTTACGATCTCTAAAAGACAGTTGTCTACACATTCTTTGTCCGTGGGTACATCTCAAGCAAAAAAAAACCTAACCAGTTCACCGTCGTCAAGCAACTGATAGTTTAGAATCTTACCGTCTCCCCTTTTATATTAGTTAGGGAACATTAGTTATATATAAATGTCAAATCTAATGTCTAGGCTGACTCAGTATGTGAAATTGTTTCAGTGTCATCGGAGATGAATTTATATTGAAAGTTACGAAATCGTTGAATTATAAGTGGTTCGACATTAAGTTGCCAGATTTAGTAAAAATGCTGTAAAATAATATTTGAGCCATCAGTATCATACTTAAATATATATCACTTTACATGCTTCTCAAAAAAAAAAACCAAACTAAATTATGAAATAAGAACGCTTATACAGACTTACCTTCAAATTTTCTTCATGCCCTACAGTATGTGGTCTGCTATTATTTATCCTGCAGCCATCTATGAATATAGAAGAAGGGGCATTACTATATATATATATATATATATATATATATATATATATATATATATATATATACATACATATATATATATATATATATATATATATATATATATATATATATATATATATATATATATATATAACAACACAAAAGTAAATAAAGAAAACATTAGGATATAAAAAATTACTTTAAAACTTAATTATTAGTCATTATTTATAAAATTGTATAAAATAAAAATTGTTGCAATAGAAAATGAAAATGCGTTCAAATTCACTATTATAGTATTAATATAAGTAAAATCAACATCGATGAAAAATTTCATAATTTTTGTCGAACAAAATCTTAAAATCAAAATAAATTAGTTTAAAAATAAAATTGCAAGATCTAGATTCAAGCAATATTACAATTTTTTAAATAGAAAACGCTTAACTAATCATCTAATTGAAAAAAATAATGAATTTATGTGGGAATTAATTACAAACCCATTAAATGCAGAGGTTAAGAAACAAATGAACTCTTTTTCATCCGCTCTATCGGTCTTTCATTCTCAAAGAGGAACTTTACTTCTTTTGGTGTTTTCAAAGTAATATTTATATATTCCAACTCGTATTTTTTTAATTATATGCGAAAGTTAGATACAATATTAGCTTGACCGTCCCCGCGTTATCCAGGGCGCCAAATCGCACCCTGCCGTGACGCCGCCCGTGCGAAATTGATTTCTTTTTTCCCCGGAAAATTCCCCAGTAGTATTCTTAACAACTTCCCAAAGTTTCATGGCTATCAGATGAAAGGTGTAGTATTGCATAAAAGACAGACTAACAAATTGAAAAACAAACACACACACATACATTGCATTTTATCTTCGTGTTATTAACTTCCATATATATATATATATATATATATATATATATATATATATGTATATATATATATATATATATATATATATATATATATATATATATACATATATATATATACATATATATATATATATATATATATATATATATATATATATATATATATATATATATATATATGGAATTTAAATAGCACGCTGACGAACTCACCCTACAAGCTACAACAACTGACGTTTGTATAACCACATTTATTTTAATAACAGAGACCATTATTTTTAAAACAGGAGTTAGACGATAGTTAAATATGTCACAAAAATTAAGGTGGAAAGTTTGTCCTCTCTCGGCTCATATGAGTAAAACTATTATGTAAAATGTCAAAGTTGTGTAATCAAATATTTAAACCCTACCTGAAAGGTTCTTGAATAAACTTTCCTTTGATGATGAGGCAGAGCTTACGTCGAACTGCCGGTCAATTGAATTGGTCTTTTCACGATCCTCCGATACACCGAACTTTACTGCATGAAAAGAATAAAGAAGGAAATTGATTAAATTGGTCACTTTTAATGTTGTGAACATCTAATAATATCAATCTAAGCTTTACTTCACTCCCATACGTGTAAATTTAGATGGGGAAAATAGTTTGCAAGATTTTCTGGTTGCTTGCCGCGCCCAGATTCGTGACTTACAGAACTAAATAAATGACAGCTACATCAATGACAGCTACAGTAATCAAAGCTATATGTATGACAGAAACAACAATCAATGCTACACCAATCACAGCTACAGTAATCACAGCTACGATAATTACAACTGCATCAATGACAGCTATAGCAATCACAGCAACAGCAATTACACCTACTTCAATCACAGCTACAGTTATCACAGTTACATCAATCAGATCTACAGCAATCGCAGCTACATCAATCACAGCTACATCAATCACAGCTACATCTTTCACAGCTGCATCAATCACAGCTACATCAATCACAGCTACAGCAATTACAGCTACATCTTTCACAGCTACAGCAATTACAGCTACATCATTCACAGCTACATCAATCACAGCTACATCAAGCACAGCTACATCAATCACAGCTACATCAATCACAGCTACATCAATCACAGCTACAGTAGTCACCAAGTGTATTGGTTGGTCTCCCAGTTGGCTTTTTACATTTTTCACAACACAGCAGATCAACCGATGCATCAAAAGCTTTGGAACTGTCAAACATGCAGCAGCCATTAGGACCTCCAACAGCACGCATGCATGGTGGTCTTTTACAATATGGACGTCCGCCTGAAATGGAAATTTTCTAATTTTTCAAAAGGCTATAACTTGAGTATTGTTTCAAATTTCACATGTACTTTAATGATCACATTCAGTTCCTTACATCACATTTTGAGTAACTTCCGTTGACCGGAAGTAGTAGTTTTTGCTATTTCTGATTTCTCAAAAACGCATGTGAATTTATAAAGTACTAACAACAGATAACGTCTTCGTGTAATAATGCATATATATATATATATATATATATATATATATATATATATATATATATATATATAAATGGTGTCCTGTCAGATCGGCCCGGGACAAATTGGCCCCGTCAAAACGGCCCCGATAATATGACCCCGTCAAATCGACCCCCGTCAAAACGACCCGGTCAAAATGGCCCCGTCAAAGTGGCCCCATCAAAGTGGCCCCGACTTATTGGCTCCTGTAAAATAGGCTCAAGTCATTTAAAAAAAAGGAGTAAGACGATAGTTAAAGATGCCACAAAAATTAAGGTGGAAATTTTGTCCTCTCTTGATTAATACCAGTAAAAAAATAGTGTGATATGTAAAAGGTGTTTAATCAAATATTTAAACACTACCCGAGAGGTCCTTGAATAAACTTTCATTTGATGAGGAAGAGCTTTCGTCGAGATGCCTGTCCAATGAAGTGTTCTTTCCACGATCCTCCGATACACCTTGCGTTTCTACATGGAAAGAAAAAATAGGAGGCAATTGATTCGATTGATTTCTTCTAATGTTGTGAACATCTAATAATATCAATCTAAGCTTTACCTCACTCCCGTACGTGTAAATTTAGATGGGGAAAATAGTTTGCAAGATTTTCTGGCTGCTTGCCGCACTCAGATTCGTGACTTACAGAACTACATCAATGACAGCTACAGTAATCACAGCTATATGTATCACAGCAATAACAATCACAGCTACAGCAATCACAGCTACAGTAGTCACCAAGTGTATTGGTTGGTCTCCCAGTTGGCTTTTTACATTTTTCACAACACAGCAGATCAGCCGATGCATCAAAAGCTTTGGAACTGTCAAACATGCAGCAGCCATTAGGACCTCCAACAGCACGCATGCATGGTGGTCTTTTACAATATGGACGTCCGCCTGAAATAGAATTTATATAGAAAATATATACTTTTGCCAGTGTTCGACGCCCCGGACAATTTTGTCTGCAACCAAAAAAAAAAGATATCAAATGCCCCCCCCCCCCCCTCCAGAGAAAAAAGGCTAAAAGAAACACTGCATGTGTAAAACTCGAATATTCGAGAAAGTTAAGGCCTTATATATTTCTTAAAACTCAGCAGATTGTCCGATGTATTACCTGGAATGCGACCGTCAAACAAGCATCCATACGAACGTCCAATAGCATCCATGCAAGGTGGTCTGTTGCAATATGGACGTCCGCCTGAAATGGAATTTATATAGAAAATATATACTTTTACAAGTGTTCGCCACCTCGGAAAATTTAGTCCGCCACCCGCCACCCTCGAAAATATCAAGTGCCCTTCTCCCCCCCCCCCCCCCATCCCCCGCTCATATGTGTAAATTCGAATTACGTAAGATCGTGTAATATTTTTGACTAATCTTTTAGAATCCATTTAAAAAACCATGTAATAGACAGAAACTACCTCAAGTTTTTTTTTTTTACTTTAAAATGAAACTAGGTTTCTCTCTTACTATTGCAAGGTAATAATTTCAGTTCATTAATAACTGAAATGGAAATAGTGCTTGATTTTTATTTTCAGGTATATACGAAGAAGAGGGAAGTCTTGGAATTGTGCAAAAAAAAAATTGAAATTTTTGCAAATCCCGACGTTTTACAGCTCCCTGAGTCGAAAAAAACATAGCTTTGCAATCTTGTCCGTATGTCTGTGTGTGTGTGTTGTGTATACGTGTGTGTCTGTTCGTCTGTGTGTGTGTGTGTCTGTAAACACGATAACTTGAGTACCGTTACAGCTAAGTTGATGACATTTCAAATATAAGTATTATATCAAAATCGCAGATCCGTGTAAACTTTTCAGCCATTTCCGATAACCGGAAGCGTAACGTTTTCTACTTAAAATTTTTTCAAAAATCTATAACTTTAGTACTATTTCAGAAAGATATATGAAATTTCACATGTGAGTAAAAGTTCAAATTTTCTGCTTTCTGTTAAATTTGGAACGGAAAGTTGAACGGAAAAAGTAATTTTTGCTGCTAATTCCGTTTTCAGAAAAAACGCTTGTGAATTTATAAAGTAAGCCTACTAATAATAATCATGCAGTATTATGCACATTTTATTTGGCGTTCACTTGGTGTGCAATTCTTTTTTCTAGAGATTTTATTCCAATTTTAAAAAAAATGTAAGTATTAAAATGGATGAAAAATCATGTCTGTATCCCGAGTTTCCATCTCATGTTGTTTTATGTAAGAATATTGGAGAACGTTTAGGCCTATTATATTTCTCAAAACTCATCAGATTGCCCGATATATTACCTGGAATGCATCCGTCAAACATGCATCCATACGAACGTCCAACACCATTCATGCAAGGTGGTCTGTTACAATATGGACGTCCGCCTGAAATGAAATTTATATAGAAAATATATACTTTTACAAGTGTTCGCCACCCCGGAAAATTTAGTCCGCCACCCGCCCCCTCCCCCTCGATAATATCAAGTGCCCCCCCCCCTTCCCTCCCAGAGAAAAAAGTCTGAAAGAAACACTGCATGTGTAAAACTCGAATTCCGCAAGATCGTGTAATATTTCATAACATTTTTGACTAAACCTTCTAAATCCATTTAAAAAACCATTCAATAGACAGAAACTACGTTAGCTTTTTTACTTTCTAGTATATACGAAGTATAGAGAAAGTCTTGTAATTGTGCAAAAAAAAAATCGAGATTTTTACAAATCTCGACGTTTTACACCTCACTGATACGGAAAAACATAATTTTGCAATCTTGTCCGTATGTCTGTGTGTCTGTCTGTGTGTGTGTAAACACAATATTTTAAGTAACGTTACAGCTAGATTGATGAAATTTCATATGTAAGTGTTTTATCAAAATCGTAGATCCTGATCAACTTTTGAGCGATTTCCGATAAACGGAAGTGGTACTTTTTCTACGTTGAATTTTTCAAAAGCCTATAACTTGAGTACTATTTCAGATAGATAAATGAAATTTTACTTGTAAGTAGAAAATCTAATTCTCTACTTTCTGTCAAGTTTTGAATAATTTCTGTTGAACGGAAGTACTAATTTACGCTTTTTCCGATTTCTCAAAACAAAAAACGCATGTAAATTTATTAAGTACTAATAATTCTGTTTTCTACTAGATTTTACTCTATTTTTAAAAGTTTAAGTAAACAAAAATCATGTCTATATTCCGAATTGCGATCCCAATTGTGATGTATTAGAATATTCGAGAACGTTTAGGGGAGATCACTCTCGGTTTATTTTACTTATTACTTTTATTACTTATTTACTTTTATTTAATAAAACAAGATTTCTCTTTTACTATTGGGAGTTAAAAATTACAGTTCATTAATAACTGAAGCGGAAAAAATGCTTGATTTTTACATTCTCGTAGATCTATATACGAAGTATAAAGAAAGTCTTGTAATCGTGCAAAAAAATAATTAGAGATTTTTGCAAATCTCGATGTTTTACACATCCCTGAGTGGGAAAAGCATAGTTTTGCAATCTTGTACGTATGTCTGTGTGTTTGTGTATGTGTGTGTGTTTATCTGATTATGTGTCTGTGTGTGTCTGTTAACACGATAACTTTAGTACCGTTAAAGCTAAGTTGATAACATTTAATATGTAAGTATTATTTCAAAATCGTCGATACGTATCAATTTTTGAGCGATTTCCGATAAACGGAAGTGAAACTTTTTCTACTGTCAATGTTTCAAAAAGCCTAGAACTTGAGTACTATTTCAGATAGTTAAATGAAATTTCACATGTAAATAAAAGATCAAATTCTCTGCCTTCTGTCAAATTTGGAATAATTTCCGTTAAATAGAAGTAGTAATTTTACTTACATACATATTTGAATATATCTATATATATATATATATATATATATATATATTATATATATATATATATATATATATATATATATATATATATATATATATATATATATATATATATATATATATACACATATATATATATATATATATATATAATATATATATATATATATATATATATATATATATATATATATATACATATATATATATATATATATATATATATATATATATATATATATATATATATATATATATATATTCATCGCCTACTTTTTTTCTCTTGCCCACTAAACTGTTAATTTTTATAGTTTTATATACAAAGGCGGTGATTCGCATTCATAGAAATTATACATGATTTCGCGGCCTAAGGTTCTCTTCCGCAGTCGACAATCTGTTGTCGTTGATGCTGTTCTTAGAACAAACCTTTCTGAACTGTCAAGTGTGAGCTTCAAACCTCTCAATTTCATACATTTTTCTATTAACCCAAACACTAACACAAACACTCCCATCCTCAGGTGGCGATACCGCTTTGTATGGGAACCACTGGTGTAGGGTAAAGATGTATGTATCCTTAAAGTAAAACTATGGTGTTTAAGATCACAACACTTACATCTTTTATAATACAAGTTGGAGATATATACGGATGATCACCAACGCTTAGGAGCCTGGTGTGGTCACTTTGATTCGAAGCAGTTAAATAATTAAGTGGGAGCATGGAGGAGAGAGATGGAAGAAGTGCAGGCTACTGGCAAGACCTGGCATGAATTGAAGTGGCTCGCCCAGGGCAGGGTGGAATGGCGAAGATTTGTTGCTGCCCTTTACTCCACAGGGAGTGAAGAGGATTAAGTATGTACATCGTAAACAATATAATTTAATTTTCAAAATCTATTTGTAGAAATTAAACTATAGGCTACCTGGTACCATTTTTGAAGAACCCTTTTCAGCTTCTCGTCAACACAACAGGATATATCTGTTTAAAAAAAATTAAGTAGATTTAATGTAATACGGTCATTTAATATCTTCAGCATTAGATCTCGAGAACTCATGATGTCTCTGCAATAAACCAGCTCTGATGGGTATCTGACCCTATTTATGCCTAAGTCACATAAATAGGTGAACTCTACTCCACCTGTACCACCACATTTGGGAGAGCAAATTTTCTTGCAATGTTGTGCAAGATTACGACTAAAACGAGATTATCTCGACTCCTTAGGGTGTACTACAGCTCACTTGGTGACGTCTTGTTGTATCTGGATTGGTCTACTGTAACAGGCAAATGGAACTCTATGTCCTTCTTGCACTCTAGCATAGTGCTCTAGTTGATTTCATGTGCAGTATCTAAACTTAATACTGAATTACTATATCCATATGAGAGAATCACTGTTTGCAGGCGTGAACCAAGTTATTCTATGTACAAATAGAGAAAAGAAGAACTTTAGTGAGAATTAAAACTTAATACGTTACCTTCTCAAAGCAATATATTCACATTCCTCTTCATTAACATGGCTAAAGGGTTCTTTCCATTTTGATCAAAATCACCTCCCTTCAAATCATCGTATCTGTCTATACATGTTGCAAAGTAAGAGAGCTTTTACAGTTTAAAATGATGTCCTTTCAACCCACCGCCTACTAGTATACACAATTTATTTTAAAA